AAATACTTTCCCCGTGTGGGTTCCGGGATCCCATTGCAGGAAAACAAAAATAGATCTACTACCGTCCCAACAAGTATGTCGTAGGAGTCGTCTAACTAGGTGCATCCTTCAAAGTTCGATACATCTCTCTGAGAAGCAAGGAACCAATACGCTATATACAGATAAGCCAGACATGTGAAACGGCTATGCAGGCAACACTCAGGTTTGAAATATACGCGGACTTTAATCAGATTACAGCTGGTACTATAAGCAGGACGGCTCCTCATTGGCTGCTGGGTAAAGACGCGTGGTAATGTCCCGACTGCACTGAGGTTAACGCTTCACTCGGTCACTGATTCAATACTTCTTTGAATATAACGCGTTAAGTACCAACTGTCTGATAACGAAAGAGAATCATTACGCCTGCATTATGGAAACGATCTCTGAATTCGTCAGTGTATTATGTTCGCTGCTCCTGGCAACCGCCGGCGTCTGTTTGGCGTATTCAACCACAACCCCGGAGACATTTGTTGCAGACAACGCAACGGTCGCGCACAGCCAAGCTGGCACTGAATTAATGGTGGACGCATACCAGAATCTACGAGACATCTTGTCTAAACAACTGTCCAACAGCTACCCCGTGCCGCCCAAGTTTTACTCATCCACCTACACGATCTATGCCTCATTTGAACCGCTCCAGATCATTACGCTGGACGAGGTCCTTCAATCTATATCAATGTCTTCGGCAATAACATTGACCTGGCGTGACCCCAAAGTTAGGTGGGACCCCCGAGAATTTGAAGGCATCATGTCTATCAAGTTACCGTCAAGTTACTTCTGGCTGCCCACACTAATCATCCCCGAGACTACAGTTGAAGAAGGAGCACCATTGATCCCCGACGCCGTGGATGTCACCTTCCAAGGAGACATCCAAGTCATGATGCCGACAATAACCACCACGCTCTGCAACTTGGATCTCACTTACTTCCCCTTTGACGATCAAAACTGTACGCTAGCGATGATGGAGTCTGAATTTTACAACATGACTCCCTACACCGTTACTCTTGGTGACATGAGTAGATACTTCGGTACAAACGCAGCCTGGAAACTGGTCAGCTACAAGTGCTACCCTCAGATATCTATAGAATCGACCCCGCCGTTCAGCTTTGTAAGCTGTCATGTGGAGATTAAAAGACGGAGTGCCTTCTACGTCATTAATCTGATAGGTCCCATGGGAATGACCTCGCTGATGACGCTGCTAGCCTTCTGTGTTCCGGCTGATGGCGGGGAGAAGGTCAGTTTTATCGTGTCAATGTTTATGTCTACGTCCGTGTTTTATAACTACATCATCAACATCACCCCACGCAGCATGCAGAACCTGCCCAGGGTGAACATCCTTCTTGTGGCTATCGCGGTGCAGATCATCTTTGCTACCGCAGCGATTGTGTTCGTGCTTGTGCGCTACAGTAAAACAAAGGAACGGCAAAAACATCATCAATCGCCTAACTTCCCGAGACAGGACAAGCATAGCGATGATCGTGGCCAAACTCTCAACCTAAAGTCAGAACTTGGCAACAGGACATCACCATTGTCGCATCAAACAGCCACAGACAAGGGGTACGCTGATGGAGGTCGCCCAGAGGACGACCTGAAGAAACCAGCGGAGAAATCTACAGCTCCACCAAACACTAGAAACGAAGCAACAATTGTGGCTAAGGACGTTAGCAGAAGTGCCAGGATGTTGAGCTGTGATCAACTGGACATACTGTTTTTCTGTGTCATGTGTGTGCTCACAGGTTTATTGTACTTGATTACATTCTTTGTGTAACAAAGGTTCTGTGTTAGTCAATACATTTCTTCCTTTTCCTCTTATTCTGTGTGTTCACCATTTTTACACTCCAGAGGAAAGGCCTGGCTGTTCGTCCACTTCTGGACTTCGTTTTGTTCCAGAACTGAAATGAACTAACTGGGTTTGATTCCAAATGGTTCAATTTATGTCCGTAGATAGCCGCGTGCTGAGACCACAAAGCATGAGCACAATCGCTCTATCAATCATCCTTATAAGTCTCCGTAAAAATTTTTACTTGTGAACCAAACGACGCAGCTTTGAAATGAACCTACAGTGCGCGAGCCGTGTTGACCAAGTCCTAGGCTGAGAAGAGATTTATAGAATGACCACAAGAGGTGTAGACAGGCCTGCCTAAGGCTCAAACTCCGACTGTTTGTGATACTACTGCTCTAGCTCCACTCAGTGTAGCCAGTCATCCTACACTGGTGTCTTGTGTTGTGGCCACAGCCCGTACACAAGCCTACATCAGCTCAGTGAAGAGCTAAGCAGACATCACGTGACGGTAATCAAAGAGATGAGGCTTCTTCAAACATCCTTCTCTTCTTCTGTCGTTATCTCTGATGGGGTAGAGTACCTCGACCAACTCAAACTATATGGTGTGTTTTCCTTTGTCACCCATGTCCTTTCCTCTTGTTCACCCCTATTCCCTGACACCACCCCCCCCCCCTCTCTCTCTCACATTATTTTTTTTTAAATTGGACTGTTTATTAGATTTGCTGTGTGCTAGGAATTTACTGGGAAGTAAAGACGGCTGGCATGGTGGTGCCCACATGACCAAAAAAGTATTGCTTGGTCTACATAAATTTGGTTCTGGCATCATGTACCTGATACGCCACTGGTCTGCTGCACAAGTATGTGACATCAACACAGAAAATGACACAAGATGTCATTCTTCTTCTTCTTCTTTTGTCAAAATCTGCTTGTGCCGCTAGGCGTCGCAGTCTATCAGATGATCGGCAACCGAGCCAGGGCGCGCTCAGTCGCTTCATATGCCGTGATGTTATGAAGTCTCAAGTTGTCCGTGACTCCTTCAATCCATCTTCTTCTTGGTCTTCCCCTGCCTCTTGGTGTTTCGATTTTCATGTTGTATGCTCTTGATGCTGGCATCGTTGGTTCCATAAGATGTCATTAAGGTACAAGAAATGATGACGACGCATGAAGAAAAGACTAAAAAACACACATAAAACATGAAATGAGAAGACGACATGAAACATGCAAGCAGACGAACGACATGTGTATTAAAAAAAAATCAACTCTTAAGACTGGTAAATGTTATAAATTTAATTAACAAAAGCAGATAAACATCCTGTATAACATGATTTCTAAAAGCCACAAAAACTGCTTTTAATCTTTCGACTTGGTGGATTCCAAAGCAGTAACATTCTAGCTATACTGTTCTCATGTTTTCTCAATGACCATCCTATCCAAAGTCAGCGTCTTTCCCTCATCTCTTGATTTACCGGAATTTGTTTAGCTCTCACAAAATTATATATTAGTGATTTTGTCATACCATTTAATACCCTCTTTTCTGCGCAGGCACCAGTTAATGAATGTTTGCAGTTTATTAATAACTGTTTAAAGGGGAAAAAACCAATTCACTTTATCTTACAGATGTAAATAATTTATCTGGCTGATGTGAATGATTTACCTGAACATGTAATTATTTACCTTTAAGATGTAATTAATTTCCTTTCAAGATGTAACTGATGTTCTCCGTGTGAGTTCCGGGGCCCCATTGTGGGGAAAAACAAGAATAGACCCATTGCCTACCCAAAAACATGTCGTAAGAGTCGACTAATTGGGGAGCTTTCTTTGAAGTCGTAGTGCATCTACCTGAGAGGCAAGGAACCAATAGTCTGATTCAAGTGAATCAGATCTGGAAAAACTGATGCACACACAACACTTAGGCTCTGGAGCAGGACTACAGTTGAGAAGTGGACGAACAACCAGAACTTTTTGACAGAGTGTACAGCTGGTGAACGCAAAGAAGAAGAAGAAGAAGTAACTGATGTAAACAACTTACCATACTTTTCAGTAAGGCGGACACAAACAATACACTGCACAATTGATTGACTGGCATGTTCCACTGTATCTCCTCAGGTGCGTTACTGCAGAGCTGAATCAACATCTAAAGGACCCTTTCCCCACCTTCAGACATGTAGGGCATGTAGGGCTAGATCTATATTTTATAGGCCAACAAGCCCTTGGTTGGTGATGTGGTCAGCATTAGGCCGACTGCCTTTACTTCTCAGGAATATTACCTGGTACCCATTTGAGGCTGGGTCAACTTGGGAGCCAATGTCATTTTTTTTTTAAGCCCAACATCGTTTGGATTTGAACCTACAACCTTCAGATTCACAGGTGAGCGTCTTGCCGCTACACCATAGTGGCTCCAAAATCAACATATAATAAAGCATGAACAAAATGTACAATACAAAGGTCAGTTATTTACCTACATGTGTAAATAATTTCCCCTACAGATGTCAATGATCTGTCCAGCAAATGTACATGACTTTCTTTTAGATGTTAAAATTAAAAAACTATTTACTACAGATGTACACGGCTTATCTGACAGATGTAAATGATTTCTGCATGACTCCATGAAATAAAATTTTTTTGTTGAAAAGATCACAAATGGATCTATGTGAAGAGAATAGTATCAATCAATACAAAGAAACTCTGGCACTAACACGATTGCATAACATGGGAGTAAAGCATGGTCAGCTCATTTATGCCACCTTTAAGGCCGAGATAGGAAAATTTATAACTAGCTCCTCCTGAGATTGATGTACCTTGAAGTGGCTGCTGCAGCGGAGGACTGAGCATGTATGGGAATGCCCATTGAGCAGTGTTGCATATTGCGATAACATAACATTATAATGAGCAAGGCTTCAAACCGACATCTTTATCTCTGTCCCAGGTGACCAGCATGAACGAACCAACAAACTTTATTTTCAAAGGGTTACAAATTGGGCACGCAGGCCCGTCTGACATTCTGCCCTTCTAAGCACTCATTTTTCAAAGTACCAATGCCTGTTATCTATAATGCAAGTTATGGATGTGAGGAAAATGAAAGGCAGGGAGAGTGCTGATTCTTCTTCGGACAGAACAGACATAAATAATGCTATTTGAGAGATAACACACGTCAAAGGCCTCAAAAAAGAGAATAAATATTTCTCTCTGATACAAAGTCATCTTGATATACCAACTGGAGCAGTGCAATGTGAAAACCATGCAAGCGCTCACTCACAGTCGCTACATCATTCAGTAGAGAACAGAAGTGGGTAGCATAAACACACTTAGAAACAAGCTCAGTATAAGATCAGAGCACTTATGAGTATATCCAATGTGCTTTGAAAAATTATCTTGAAGTGAACACTAAAGAGTAACTTATTAGTCAATAATAAAGAGTAATTTGTTAATCATAAACAACTGAAGTGAGACAACAGTGCTATATGGGCCAATCATGATGTACAGACAGCGGATGAGAGAATAATTATGTGGGAAAATTGTAGGTAAATGGTTTATGCTGTAGATGTAAATGGTTTATGTTGTAGATGTAAATAGTTTATACTGCATCTGTAAATGATTTATATTGTAGGTGTAAATGATTTATGATGTTGGCACACATGATTTCCACTGTAGGTTTAAATAGTTTATGCTGTAGATGTAAATGATTTGTCATAGATGTTCATGATGTATGCTGTAGATAAAAAATGATTGTAGATGTAAATATTAATGCTATAGATGTAAATTATTTATGCTATAGATGAAAATGATTTATGCTACAGATGTAAATGATTTATGCTGTAGATGTACATGATTTTTTTAGATGTGCATGATTTGTGTTCTGGATGTCAATGGTTTGTGTTGTATTTGTAAATGATTTATTTGTAGATTTAAACAATTTATGCTGTAGGTGTAAAGATTTACTCTGCTGGTGTAAATGATTTATTCTGTTATTGTAAATGAGTTAGATGTCAGAATTAAACAATATAGCAGCAGATATAACCATTTCATCCTGCAGATAAAAACAATTTACCTTCTAGATGTAAATAATTTACCCTTCAGATGATCAGCTTATGCTAAAGATTCCGAGATCTCTTCCCCGCCAGCTCTCCCAGCTTCTTCTCCATTTTGCTCTCTAACTGTGCCCTTCTTGCCTGGTTGGGTTTCTTATTTGGCACACCACTGCCGCTATGCAAGACCCCATCCCTGCTGATGATCCGGCGCGCTGCAGTTCTAACCGCATCGCCACACCCATGAATCTCCGGCATTAAGTGGGTAAGACAAAACCGACGGGTGCAGTATTCACAGTTTCTTCCTAGAGTGTTTGTGAGGGTTTTGCACTTCTTGAAAGCACACTTACTGTCCAGTTCGGTGATTGAGGCAATCAGGCCTTCAAAATCATCATCGTCGATTTTACTAAGAATATCTGAAGCTTTCTGAACATGCGATTGCTTGGGCTTATCTTTCTTCCTCTCTTTAGATTCATTATCCTTTTTCCTAACATCCACGTCTACCTTATCTTTACCTTTGGTTGCAGAAGATGTGTTTTGCTTTGAGCAATGAAGCTCATGTAATATTAAATTGTTTTTAAGAATGCTTTTCCTGCAATTTTTGCAAATTTCAGAGTCTGTAGATTTTACTGTTGTTGCTTCTGTGGCACTGGCTTCAGGTTTCTGTTTTGCCTTGTTCTTTTTCTTATTTGACTTAGATTCTTTGTTATTCACATCTGATGCAGTTTTTTCCTTATTGAAATCGTTTATTCTATCACAAACAGCAGTATCATCTTCTTTATTTGTAGTAGGCCCAGCAGTGATAGCAGAAGGTTCACCTCCACTGCTTCTAATATTTTCAGTCTGGTTTCCAGTATCTGTACCAACAGAAGCAGGGTGTGATGAAGACATCTCGCCTTTGTAAGTGTCTTCTTTCTCATCAAACTTCTCAGCTGAGATCTGATCTGACTGCTGCAAGTCGACTCCTGCTGCTAGTGGCAACAGTGAGGTAGATGGTGCCTCCTCAGAAACAGACGTGTTTTGAGATTTGCTGTTGTCCACATTTTCTTTTGACACTTGAATGTGTCTCTCCTTGCCTTCTCCTGTGCTTATGTGGATCAATCCAAGCTTTTCTGCAACCTACAGAAAGGAGGAGAATGTTAATATCTAAACAATAAGGAAATAAACAATCTTCTTGTTCCTTTGTTCTGCTGCTTTTTCCCTAAAACATCGCAGAGAAGAGCTAATGTTTAATGTTTGATTGAGAACCAACATCACAGCACTCGGGACATTCACAGTAGTGCTCTGTCCCCATCTTCAGCAGCAAGCATAGTTCCCCTTCCAATGGTACCAATAGCAGTCTGACTGTATATTCGTTTCACCTTTCCCTTGGCTGCTGTTTGTCAACCACATCCCCTGATAACTCCTCGCAGTACCATTCTCTTTAGACCATGATCAGCCATCTATGCTTCCTCCCTGTTCACTCCCTCCCGAAGGACCTTTACAACATCTAGCTGGCATGCATCAATTCACCACCAACTTGTGCAGAACCAGCCAGTCTATCTGCCTGCTCATTTCATAATACACGGGCATATCCTAGTGAAAATATCCAAAAGATGCTAACTACCAAGGACCTCTGAAGCAGTGCTTGCTTTTCGTGGAGTATACCGGTCTCCACATTTCTCAATATGCTCTGTGAGTTGGTTACAATTACAACATGTGTGAACAGCTGATTCTCAACTCAAGCCAGCGAAAGGCTGCACTAAAAAGTCGGGAGATGTGAACCAGCGTCATAGCAAGCACACGGTTATAAACCATAAGTGCTTTGCCACCAGTATCGACAGCTGATAAGAATTGTCAGCCTGTGTCACCGTTCGCACGAAACTCTGATACAGCGACATTCCTCCATTCACCCCAGAGTGTCAACTAGAGGCTGGGTGAACCCCGGGGACCGCCCGGTTTTGAACACCGACCGTGGTTGCAGCAAGTCGCAGCTGGATTTGAAAGCGAGCCTCTTATCAACTGCACTAACGCGGCCTCCACTGACTGCCTCCATCTCCAATCTCAAACTAGAAAGAGCTCTTGCCAGGGGGACCTGGGCAGTAACTAGCCAGGCTAAGACACCTGGTCAAATGTGGCCACATTTGGCTTTGATGTTCATCAGGGGTGCTAGAACAGACATATCATATCAACCATCCTTTGAAGGAAAAATGCAAAAAAAAAAGAACACTAAAAAGCAAATAAAAGCCAAATTTGCTTGTTGTAAATCTGAAACTATTAACGTCACTTACAATCATCAATTTGTGCACAGATGTGACTTTTCCTTGCAAAATACTCACAGTAGGTTGGACGATGTGGTGTAGTGACTAGATGCTCGCCTGCGGATCAGAAGGTCATGGGTTCGGGTCCTGGCAGAGCTGGACTTTTTTTTAAATGACCTTGGCTACCAGGTCGACCCAGGCTTCAGTGGGTACCAGGCGCAGTTCGGGGAAGTAAAGGTGGCTGGCGTGATGAAGACCACATCACCCACCAATTGTCGATTGGTCTATAAAATATAGTCCAGCCCTATATGCCCAATAAACCTAAAGGTGTGGAAAAGAGTCCTTCACTTTACTTTCTAGGTTGGACAATTAGTGAAAAATTACTTTGAAGTGGCAGAGATGTTGTTTTTGTAAAAGACTGATGAGAATGGACAGACAAAAAAGAGTAATAACGATGTCCTGAAACTAACTGACTCACGAAGAGAACTGACTATCTACTTCAGAAGGAGACAGTCTTAATTTTGTGGTCATGTCATGAGAAGGAGAAAACTGAAGTGTGTCATGCTGGTGGAAAAGTTGGAGGGGAAAACAGAGGGAAAGAGAGAAGATGTTGGACAGTTTGACATCATGGCATGGAAGATTATCTGTGTCAGAAATGACTAAAAGTACATGACAGAGGTTGAGGATAGACATGACTATCAACATGACAGAGAAAAATTCTGAACCAAGAAGACACAAACAGACTGCAAACATCCATGTGTTTACCCTGGTAAAACAAGAAGGTATATTTGAGAGTGGGTGTTTTTTTGTCTTCACAACTTCTTCTTGGAATTTGGTTTCATATGCTCAGGTCAGATCGTCAGGTTGGCTGCTGTTTTGGACCTGCAAGTCAGTTGCAGGTCCTTCACGGTTGCTCAAAGCTTGCTCTGCAAACCTTGAGACTAGGTTCCTCTTTATCGCTGTAAGTAGAGTGGGCAGGCCTGCAGAATGTGCTCAGGTGTTTGAGGTCCTGCTTGACGTGCATATTGTGGAGACTGCAGAGTCTTTATTTTATGCATGTGGTCGTTGAGCCTGCAGTGTCCTGTTCTTAAATGAAAAACAGTTGTACACTGGTTTATGCTGAGTCGGCTAATGGGGGGTCTTCTGGTTGAAAGGATTCATGTACTTACTTTACAGTGCATAATTTGGTAGTACGCACATGATGAGACAAAGCACAAGATGTTAGGCAATAAACTGTACAATGGAAACAAAAACATGCACATACAGAGGTTAAGGAGAGACTGAGAATTAAAAGAGAGCTGCTCAAAGAAAAAAAAAGAGATAAGTTAAATACTTTGGCAAAAAGACAAAACACTTTTATTTTAAAAACCATACTGGAAGGAAAATTAAAGGCAAGTTGAAGACTGATATAAATGAAAGGATAACATTTGTTCATCCAGACAGCATTCAGAATAAGCACATATAAGCTCCGTCTCCCTCCTCAACAAACAACGAAGAATGTCCATACTGACGGTACAAACTGTCATCCGGTTAACTACTTGTCTTGGCTTTCCCCCTCAGTCTCAGGTGGCACCCAGAGCCAACAGACACACCCCTCTGTTCCTTCTCTTCATGTAAGAGTTTTCACTAACTTCCATTTGATTTGTTATCATGTCCCACAGGCAAGAGATCATGTCTGCCTTGTGTAGCTGCAGTGCACACACACCCCCCCCCCCTCCCCTCCCCCTTTTCCCCCCAGTGGAGGATAACATCAGCAGATGGACAAATAACAGCCTGACTGACACAGACAGAAACTACATCCAGGGTGAACGAAAGAGTCGGAGGTCCATTTCAGCTAAACTTCATTGTGGAGATGGCCCCTGACTGATTCACTGAATGACTGACACAAAATTCAGACATACCTCATGGATGACCTTTCTGTCAGTGTAGCTGAAACCTGCAAAAAGATGCAACAACTCCATCACCCAAGCCATTCAAGCAGTGCAAGACAAACACAGAAAACCACAATACTGGGCTACAGCCTGGTATCACTGAGACGACAAAGGAAAGAAGAAGAAGACCCACTGAGCAAAAATTAAGAACTAAAACTGAGCACTTGTACAGGATCAGCTCCACACCAGTTGATGCCTCAGACATAAGATGTTGGGCTAATATTTTATTTTTAATAGAAGTGCTAAATATAACATAAAATGTGACTAGAAAGCTCAAAGAGAGAATGGAAAAAATACACACAAACACAACATTCTGACCATTTGTTATCAATGGAGTACTAAATACAACACAAACTGTGACTGGAAACTCAAAGGACAAGACAGAAGGTCAACATGGAATTAAGAAATACATAATGTGGGGAAATATGAACATGAAGGGCTATAATATGAAACAAAATAAGTAGGACAGCATTTGGAAAACAAATAAAAGATGGAGAAACATAAACAAGTTAAATAAATAAATAAATAAAATTAAATACTGCTGTGCTGACTACTGATCCCTCCATTACTGAGAACGCCAAACTAGGAATGAAGTTATTTTCTAAGCAGCATTGGCTGGTTAAGAGAACAGAGGCTTTTGAGCTGAAATGCTATAGAAAGATTCTCAAAATATCTTGGACAAAGAAGAGGAGAAATACTGACATCTTGAAAGATCTGAACATCAAGGAAGATTGGCTAATGAACAACATCCTCTTTCAGAAACTGAAATATTTTGGTCATATCTAGCGCCACGACGGATTGGAAAAAATTATAGCAGAAGGCATGGTACCAGGAAGGAGGGGAAGGGGCCAACCGACACGAAGATGGGCACAGGATATAAGTGACTCCTTGAGTATGAAACAACATAAGGCAGGAGAACTGGCAGGAGACTGAGTTTCTTTCAGGCAGACAGTGATGAGAGTGACCTTCTGGAAAGGACCTGCTACATGATGATGATGATGATTGACTGGTTTGATCAACGGAGCTAGATTTTATAGTAGTAACTGAGATATCTTCAGCCTTGGTTTTCAGAACTTTTAAACTGGTGGGGCAATCAGTTTAAAAGCATCATTTTGAATATCCTTAAGATGTCCACAGAAACAATCTGCTAGCTTTCTGCTCATTTACTCAACACATGTCTTTTTTATATTTTTTGCAGATGATGACGTAAATTAGATTATAACATTTGTTTAGATCCATCAGCACATGAAGGGTCACGTAGCCAACTTGCCAGCTGCCTTTACTTCCCAGGATATCGCCTGGTACCCATTTTAGATTGAACCAACCTGGGAGCCAAGGTATATTTTTTTTTTTAGTTCAGAGTGCCCAATACATACTCAAACACAAGACCTTTGGGCCGGCAGGCAAGTGTCTAGCAACTACACTACTGCAGCTGCCAGGACACTTGTTTGCTGGAGTCATAATAAGAGAGCAGGCAGGCCCATGCAGCTATGTTGATTGTTTGCTGGAGTCATAATAAGAGAGCAGGCAGGCCCATGCAGCTATGTTGATTGTTTGCTGGAGCCATAATAAGAGAGCAGGCAGGCCCATGCAGCTATGTTGATTGTTTGCTGGAGCCATAATAAGAGAGCAGGCAGGCCCATGCAGCTATGTTGATTGTTTGCTGGAGCCATAATAAGAGAGCAGGCAGGCCCATGCAGCTATTCTGATTGTTTGCTGGAGTCATAATAAGAAAGCAGGCAGGCCCTTGCAGTTATTCTGATTGTTTGCTGGAGTCATAATAAGAGAGCAGGCAGGCCCTTGCAGCTATTCTGATTTACTGCTATTTACAGGACATTGCAATGATGGACACCAGTGCCTGTGCAAAAGAGTTGTTTAAACAAAGATAAAATCACCAAGCCTGTAGGACCCTGTCTTGAATGTTCTTGTCTAAACTATGCATACCTTCTTGTCTCTTGCTTATCTTGTTTAGAAACTGTTTTAGCTTTGCCTGGATTCTTCTTCTTGGAGGCATCCATTAAGTTGGTCAGCCTTACTGGTCTACTGGACACAGAACTCACTTTCCCTTCTGACAAGAGGCAGAAAGAAAATAAAAATTAGATATCCGTATAAGTCTATAGATGATCACACGATTATTACATAATAAAGGCATCCAAAAGTCCTCTCACAACATGCACAAAGAATGTGGATTGTCTACTTCGGTTCTTTATTAATATTCTACCCCAGATGACGTTACAGGGCAGTCCAACATTTTCAAAGGTGGCAAGACTAGGTTTCCCGGCTTTCTGATGCTTTTAACAACCCCAAAACATCTAGAGAGAGTGCAGTCTAGGTCCCACAAATGCATACAGCCTGGGTCCCATGACTGCATGCAGCCTATCTACCACCCTTTGAATTATTAGACTGTCCCATGACCTGTGAATTTCCCCCATTTGGGGTAAGATATTAATAAAGCACCTCTACTTCTAATGCAGGCATTCAGTCCTGTTCATGATGAACAACACCCCTGCAAACCAAGCAACGGAATACTCCCTGGTATGGCTACCGATCATCTGATAAGCTGTGACAAGTGTAACGTGACGATTGTGTTACAGTGTAACAGATGACTGGTAGTTAAGCTGTGACAAGTGTAACGTGACGATTGTGTTACAGTGTAACAGATGACTGGTAGTTAAGCTGTGACAAGTGTAACGTGATGATTGCGTTACAGTGTAACAGATGACTGGTAGTTAAGTTGTGACAAGTGTAACGTGACGATTGTGTTACAGTGTAACAGATGACTGGTAGTTAAGCTGTGACAAGTGTAACGTGATGATTGCGTTACAGTGTAACAGATGACTGGTAGTTAAGTTGTGACAAGTGTAACGTGACGATTGTGTTACAGTGTAACAGATGACTGGTAGTTAAGCTGTGACAAGTGTAACGTGACAATTGTGTTACAGTGTAACAGATGACTGGTAGTTAAGCTGCAGAACAAGACAGACACCCAGAAAGGAAGAAAGAAGACACAGAGCTGCCTAATATTGCATCAGTATATGTTTTCATTTATTCATTGTTCATTATTGCCTTTATTTTATATGTGGATCCGCATCTTTATTATGAATTTCCACTTTTGCCATTAAGTGTTGTGGAGAGGAACAGTTTCCAATCCTTTTCTTGATGGGTAGCAATGGTTACCGTCATTCTATGTCGATATAGAAGGTCATTAATGTCATCAATCTATATTCTCTTAGGCCGACCTCTTGCTTTCACATCAGATCAGATCATGACATGTGTAGTGCCTGTGCTGGTAGTTGTTCCGGCTGCATTCTCAATGAATTTGGTGCATGATGTTGTTCCCACAGTCCGATAGCATCAATTCTTGCTTTGACTCAGATAGTTAAGTTGGCAGCTTTCCTCAGGCATCTCATTTCACGGGTGTTCATTAAATGTAGGTTAGCCTTTGATAATGTCCAAGTCTGGCACTCGTAGTACAGTTTTTGAATGAACATCGTGTTATAATTTGTTTCTTTGTGGCAATACTTAGGTTTAGATGTTTGAATAATGGCATCATTTGGTATTAAAACGCACTGGCTCATTTGAATCTTGTTTCTATTTCCCGACCTATTTTCCCATCCTACGAGAATATACTTCATAGATATTGGTATCTTTTAACTTGCCTCAGACAAGTACCATTCAAGCCTGTATGTAGTGCACTGAGAATTATACTGTATGGTGGATCAGCGGCGAATAAACTGTGTATAAACAAATGTAAAACAGTGAAGTGTTTTTTTGCATATCACTGGAGATGTAATTCTAGAACCATATTTGTATTGATCAACTGGCATTCAACTGGTGATATGGTCAACATCATGCCGACCACTTTTACTTCCCAGGCCATTCTCCAGTACCCATGTTGTGTTGGGTTACCCTTAGAGAACTAGGTTGATCATGAAAATTCACCTCAATATGAATCTGACCTAGAGACCTGTGCACTGGAAGGTGAGCGTCCAGCATTAAAACAGCTCAAAAACTGTGCAACAGGAAAAAAAGATGGTACAAAGCTAAAAGAAGCCAAATTCTTCCCTTCTTTCTTTTAGCCTACTGCTTATGTTGTAAAGTGTCACAGAGAGAAGTTAGATGTAGTTTCCTTTCTTCTGCTAGCTTATGTTGAAGTCTTAATGTGTGTTTGTAGTGCCTCCTTTACTCCCTCAGCCCATATCTTTCTGGGTCAGCCTCTTGTCGTGTAGCCTGCTGTAGTCATGTAGTTCGCTCTAGTTGCTTGCCGATTTTGTTCTATTCTAACCAGATGACCAAATCATTTGATTTCATGATGTTCTGTGAAATCTGTGAAATCTGTGAAATCATTTACTGGTACTATAAAAATTGTCTCATTAATCTTGGTGCACTGGGTGAAGACTTCCATGTGACTTAGAAGCTGCAAACACAATTTGTAATTCGGAAATACCTTGTCTGATCCCAGCTGCAGGCAATTTGGCAGCAGACCGCCTTTCACGGTTTCCGACAATGGTATCGAAAGATGACTGTTTAGAAAGCAAACTAGTGAACATGAAATTGTATAGTAAAACCAAAAACAAATGCTGGGGTTGGTTCTTAAATGTCCTTAAAGGATTTGCAACTAAAACTAACTTATACATGAAAACAAAATGTTACAATGCTAAAAAAGCCTCCCTAAATTTGAAAAAATTGATGCGCTGGGTGAAGATTTCCCCTTGCCTATGGTCATATATAAATTTGTGTTTTAAACAAAATTTAACAGAAAACAAGATGATACACTAACCTTGAATATATTGGTGCGCTGAGAGAAGATCGCCCTTGTCTGCCATATAATCAACTAATGATTTGATGAACACATCATGACTGACGGTCTCAACATCACAGACGACTGCCAGGTGACGACGAGCCCGTGTCACTGCCACATTGATTCGACGCTTCTCTGCCAAAAAGCCAACTTCGCCTGAAATTTAACAAGGGCTTTCAATTTCACCTTTTTATTCTTTCAAACTGTTTCATTTGTTTTCTTTTGCTTTTTTTGCTTGATTTCCTTTTTTTTTTTTTGTCATCAACTTTTTCTGTATTATCATAATCAGTTCTTTACCAGTTGCTCTTTACTCTTCTTAGTTTTCAGCAGCTGCAAGTTCTGCTGGGGGACAGTTCTGCTGGGGGACAGTTCTGCTGGGGGACAGTTCTGCTGGCGGACAGTTCTGCTGGCGGACAGTTCTGCTGGGGGACAGTTCTGCTGGGGGACAGTTCTGCTGGGGGACAGTTCTGCTGGCAGACAGTTCTGCTGGCAGACAGTTCTGCTGGGGGACAGTTCTGCTGGGGGACAGTTCTGCTGGCGGACAGTTCTGTTGGGGGACAGTTCTGCTGGGGGACAGTTCTGCTGGGGGACAGTTCTGCTGGGGGACAGTTCTGTTGGGGGACAGTTCTGCTGGCGGACAGTTCTGCTGGCAGACAGTTCTGCTGGCAGACAGTTCTGCTGGCAGACAGTGTTGCCTCTTCAACACTTCTGGACTCTGTCTTGTTCCAGAACTTGAGTTTTCAAAGCATATCCCTTCTAAAGTGGGCAGCGGAGCAAACAGCCACACATTGTATCAGTAATTGTATCAGATGCCGTGAACAAGCTTCAGAAGAAAGCAACTGGTGGTATGCTTTCTGAATGGGTAGACAGCATTCGAAAATCGCACTTAACCCCCCTCACCTGGATTTATACACATGGTTATGCTGGCGTGAAGGGCAATGAGCAAAGGGACCAACTGGCAAGCAATGCACCAGTGCATGTGGGCAGAAACATGGATAGAGCAGATATCCTCAACCCCGTACAGAACAGACTAGTGGATAATGACGAATCTCTAACACGAATATGATTGCGTGGCATGGGAGTAAAGCATGGTGAAGCACGTCTATGCCGCCTTCAAGGCCGAGACAGGAGACAATATAATCAACTTCTCAGGGAACAATTAGTAGAATTACCCTGGAGTGCTGCTGCATCAACAGACTGAGCATGCCTGGGAATGCACAATGTGCAGTGATGTCGACTGTGATAACATAAGATCTTAAAGTTCTGGCATATTTGTGTGCAAACTGTTAGTTCGTCACCTCTCTGGCAGATACACTCTGACTGAAAGAAACACCCTTGATTAGTCACCTTTTGCAACATGCTTGTTAGAGGGGTAGAAGGTCTATTCTTGGCGCCCCCCCCCCCCCCCCCCCCTAACAATGTCTTTTCAAATTTATGGTAATTTTCTTCATCTTAGTTTTTATTTTGTTTATTGTAAAGGAACACCTGAATGGTTGCCCGCAGGCTTCAGGGAGAGGAGGAGAAAAACCAAGTGCCCCATGACAATCATGACTCAGAGGCAACTAATTAACTTTAATTAATTAAAAAGGTGACTAATTTTAGGTGCGCCAAAATCAGAAGTGTTGCACAGGAAGGTGCAGATATCACTGATATGTGCAAAGTGACAGAGAGACAGAGCTTTGGGACTCATGAGTCGTGACTTTGTTGATAAGGGGAAAGGTTAATAAGGAAATCATAAATACAGAGTTGCAAAGACACATCCACCTAGGGGAGAATATATTAAACAGCCAGCTGATACAGGCAGTGTGAGAAAACAATTAGATCTAGACACAAACCACAGATAAGTCAGTAAAAGAGGTCAGCCAGAACCATATAACAATTACAGGGAGGGTTGAGAACACTGGTTAAAACATAAGAAGCAGAGACTTCACAAGAACCAGCACATCAGCTGAATTAACTAACCTCTACACAGAAACATTTAGAAGACAGAGTATATCAGAAATCATAACTACCTTAGAGTGTGTATAAGCTAACTTGAATGGCAGATGGCCACTTATGAGAAACTTGTGATAGGATGCATTACAATACGAGAAATAGGTGAAATCAGTTAGAGAGACTAAACACTGAATTCTAGGTATACTAGGTAGTGAAATGGTAGGGAAACAGACAAAGTGAGATAATGTACTCTTTTCCACGTCTTCAGGTATTGGGTATACACAGCTAGACCTATATTTCATACACCAATCGGCACTTAGTGGGTGATGTGGTCAGCATCACACCAGCCACCTTTACTTCCCCGGACTGCAGCTGGTACCTATTTAAGACTGGGCCAACTTAGCAGCCAAGGTCATTTTTGACAAAAGTTTGCCTGTCAGGACTCAAACCCTCAAACTTCTGATCCACAGGCAAGCATCTAGCCGTCTCACCAAAACAGCTCCCAAACACAAAGATGAGAAATAAAGGCCCATGCTAGGGCAGAGGTTGGCTCACAATCTTACTGACAAAAGTGACTGATATTCAACGCAGAAAAGTAATAGCTAGCTTTGTTACTGACATAACTATAACAAAATGCTACAGGCAGTGATAAAACATGTACTTCATATTAGAATCGAGCTTACAAGCAGCTGATGAGAACTGCAAGTGTAGTTATGTGAAGAACTGCAGAGACGTAGGAAAGTGAGAAAACAGTGTCATGTCCATATGTACTGGAATTATCAATGTTTTAAACCAGCACTAATTTTTACAATAAACTATTTGATGTTTCCTCATTTGTTGGAGTCACTGATAAAGATACTATAAGAGACAGACATCTGTTTATTTTTCAAGCAACTATACAATTATGCCAATCACTAATAAGCCACACACGACTATCACATCAACCTTGCCAGTTAGGATGTGTCTGAATCTTGGAACATGGAAAACACAGAGAAAATTACTACAGAAACAACATCACAATGTGCCAACCACCCTTAGGGTGAAACAAAAGAGGAGGAGAAGAAGAAGAAATTATATGTGCTGCAACACTGTCTCTGAGGTCAAGTTTGGATGAGACAGAAACTCCAATTTCAATGAGACATAAATATACTGTATTTGATTGTTTCAGGGAAGGTCAATTTTAATCAGATAAAAGCTAAATCAGAAACAGAGACTTATGTAGACACTGTAATTCAATGTCCCTGGGAAATTTAACAACTGGAGGAGATACTACTCAGAAAAAGAGATCCATGTCAAATCCACTGTAATTCCCTGTCCCTGGACTTGCCTGCTGTATTACTTCGCACCATAGAAATGACAACTGCTTCTTTTTCTCGACCCTGAAAGCCATCAACGGTCTTAACCTCCAGGTCTGGGTACTTGGGATGCAGACGGAGACGCAAGAGATCTACCTGGTAAAGAAAGAATATAGGTAAACATTAGACCACACATTCATCTACTTTACGTGTATAAACCAACCAATCAAACTATTCTCTGGACGAAAATTCTGATGCTCAGTCTTTCTTCACAGTTAATGAAGGGGTACTAACTGCTTTTGGAAGCTGCTGTGGTTAAACGGATAGATGCTCACATGTGGAACTGAAGGTCATGGGTTTGAGTCCTGATGGAGACAGACTTTTGTTTGTTTTTTAAAAGACCTTGGCTCCCAGGTCGACCCAACCTGAAGTGGGTACTAGGTAAAGTCCTGTGAAGTAAAGGCAGCCAGCTTGATGTTGACCAACATAACCTACCGAGTGCAAACTGGTCTATTAAATATACGTCTAACCCTATATGCCTAATGGCATACTTTACTTTCTCTGTAATATTAGTGACTACGTTTGACAGCATAAAGGATGTAAATCTTTTTTAATTCTAAGCATGTATTCTGTCTATGTGGCTCTTGTCTTTACTTCCAACTAGCAAGTAATGTGTTCTCTTGCTGTTTAAATTTGGCCAGGGATTATGAACCCTTTTACCCCGAGAAGCCGCAGTGGTGTGCTTCTGGGATGCCTAGTTAATGTCACTGATTGGGTATGCGCCGGCATAGCATTTAGGAAGTCAGGAAATGAATATATTTTCTAAAAATAGCATCTAGAGGTGTTTTCTTGTAAAAACAAAAAGGCTATTTCAAAACCTCTCTGATGATATAATTTGCCTGTAGCCTTAGTACAAGATCAGGTCACAGTAACATTCACCGGGTTAATTTTGTTTAGAGTCAGAGCAATGAAATCCAGTTATTTCTTCAATTTGTTTAAATTTATTTATATTACTCTCCTTTATGATTTAAAAAAAAATTGTAAACGTGTAGAAATAATTACTGCATGATTTGCAGTGAACTGTGTGAATTTTAAGGAATTGGGGGGAAAGGGGGGGGGGGGGTATTCCCGGGTTCATGGCCCTTTGTCAAGTAGTTTTGGGGCAAAAGGGTTAAAAAAAAAATGGCTGCCTCACCGGTTATTTCAACCACCATTAAGTAAAAATGAAATCCTTGACCACCAAGGCAAAATCCACATTTCTGTTACTGCCATAAAATCTTGCTCTGGGGTTAAAAACCGAACACTCAATGGAGGGAAAGGAAATTACATGCACAAATACCACCAAGCATTCCCATCAGAGTCTTTATCAATGGACACACACATACACAAAACAACTGACAAGGTCAACACAGATCTGGAAATATACAGTAGTGGAAATATGGGCAGATAGCGCTAAAATAAAATGTAACCCACAAAAAAGAGTGTGAAAAGGAGTAGGAAAATTAAAATAAACAAACATGGTTTGATCTCCAGAGCAAGATTTGATGGCAATAACAGAGATTTTTCTTTGGGATGTAGAGATGCTGAACCACATGCAATGGTCCACCAAGATGATGGCTCATACTGGTCAAGACCTAATTAGATCTCTCTGCTGTAAACTTAAAAATAGCGTCCGAACTGGGTCCTGGCCAGCACAGATGGGATTGACATTTTCCTCTAAGTCTCAATGCATCTTCCTGAGAAGTGAGCAACTAACAGTATGCACACACAAAAAGTATATCTGAAAAATGGATGCACACAAAAAACTCTGGAACAAAGTCTTTGGAATAAAGTCCAGAAGTGGACCAACAACCTGGAACAGCCACCCAGGAAGAACATTACAATTAAGACAGTTTCTATGGCTGGGTTATCTCTCCCTTACCTGCAAGTTATATGGGGCAATGACAGCAATATCTACAGGTCTGACTCCACTCTTGATTAGTTCTTCCACATGGGCAGTCACAATATCTGCTTCACCTGGTTATCAAACAAGGTCAGATAACAACATTTTTACATGAAGAAAAAAACAAGGATATATATTTATATATATATATATAACAAAGTGTTTTGTGGATGAGATGAGATAAGACCTGACATTACATCAGTCAGAATATTCCCGTAAGTGCTCTGTCCCAATATTCAGCAGCCAGCAAAGAGTTCCTATTCTGGTGGTGCCGGCAGCAGACTGCATGTATGCCCTTCTTGAGTTTCCTCTTGAGTGTTGACCAGATCCTCTAGCTGTAAACAACACAATGTGTGGGGGACAAGTTCAGAAGAAAGTGGGGTGGAAGGAGGAGGAGGAGTTTTTTACAGCATGAAGTAGCCAGTCTCAGAGAATCCTCCTTATTCATCTCTTCACTGTCAGAGAATCCTCCTTATTCATCTCTTCACTGTCAGAGAATCCTCCTTATTCATCTCTTCATTGTCATGCAGCTGGTCATTTGCAGATTGTCCGCCTGAAAGAATGTGGGTCTCTCATCAGATCTACAGCCTCATGCACCTTCTTGAGGCAGGAGATATCCTATGCCCATCTTCATGCTGGTCAACCCCTGCCACTCTTTCCTGGCACCATGCCTTCTGCTACTATTCTCCCCAATCCCTATTGTGCTTGATATGGTCTAAATATTTCAATTTCCAAGACAAGATGTAGTTTACTAGCCAATCTTCCTTGATGTTCAGATCTTCTAAGATGTCAGTAATTCTTTTTTTCTAAGTACATGATATTCTGAGAATCTTTCCATAGCATTTCAAAGCCCCTATTTTCTTCACTTAATAGTGCAAGGTAGTCCACGTCTCACATCCATACGCTGCTACAGGTAAGATGATAAACGCTCTCAAAGTTCTGACCTTGATTTCCTTACTGGTGCTCAACCATAGACTTTTAATGTGTTTTTTAATCTATTTTAATTCCTCTCTTACAATATGCGTACATGTTATAACTGTTAATGGGCTCACAGAGCATACTTCAGAAACTTGAAACATGTCCTAAGTGTACAGTGGCTTGTACCTTGATAAGACCCAGATCAGGAGTATATCATGGATTTCAGATTTTCTGTCCAGGATATTCAGGTGTGCGGGGTAATGAGCAGGCTGATAGCTTGGCTGATGCCACTCCTTTGGGCAGGAAACTACTTCATGATAAAGCTGACATGCAAAGTTTAAAGTAGAAGTGAACAGAACAGACAGGGCATCCATATCTTAAAAGACTAATTCAGCGAGGCATTAGCTGAGGCTCTGGTGATACTCAACGCTGAGGGGAAAACATACGCTTTTATTTAACATGGTTGCCGTTGGCACTGAAAGTAAAGGGACACCTTGTTACTGAGGAAGGAGACAGAGCATATATGAGAATGTCCCAAGTGCCCTGATGTCCATTACTGATTCACTTATCATTCATTTATTCCAACATACATGGCATCTTACAATGCTTCTAGTCTCTGGTCCTCTTAAGGTACCCAGTAACACATGGTCCACATACCTTCATTTCCTTTTGAAACATCTTCTGGCAGATCCAGCTCAAACAAGTCACAGCCAGTTGTGTCAATCAATAGTAGAGAAGCACTGGTTCCCTCAGACAAACTCACCCCCTCCAGATCTCTGAACATTCAATACAGCAATACAGTCAGTAATGAGCAGAATCATACAATCTTTTGTTTCCTGTAACCCTTTCATCCCGGGAAGCTGAAAAGACAGCATTTTTGGTAGTGCCCAATGCCCCGTAAATGCTTCTACAAGAGAATTTTTGCACTGTCCAGTTCTCGCAAAGCACTATAACTGGCTATTAACATGTTTCCTAGTACACATGCGTGTAAAAACGTAAAAAGGATTCCAGTTCCTAAAAACAGCATCTTGTCATTGTTACTGATATTTTGTGTTCTGAAAGAATAAGTTTCCTAGCACTTCAAAATGAGCCAGCGTCACCCACCATTTGCTAACTGGTCTATACAAATTAGAGTCTAGCTCCATCGACTCGATATGGATCCGTGTGTAAAAAGGGTCCTTTACCAATTAGTCCCTGTTAACTACAGACTGGTCAAGAGGCAGCGGATCTAAACCCCCCTCACCCAAGTAGAGGAAGGAAGTGGCTGATTCTGTGAGTGTTAATCAATACCTTCTTCATGCGGGTTCCGAGGCCCCATTTTTGCAAGAGAGAAAAATCAGACCCACTGTCTTCCTAGCAAGCATGTTTGTAAGAGCCAACTAAACAGGTGTGTTTTCTTCAAAGTAGGAGTGCATCTGCCTGGAAGATGAGAATCCAATGATCTACACAGAAATAAGCCAGATATGCAAAATTGATGTGCATATAAAACTCAAGTTCAGGAACAAGACTAAAGTCCAGAAGATGATGAACAACTAGAACTCTCCATTGGAGTTTACAGCCGAAAAGAAGACGAACAACAAGAACAAGAAGAAGTATATTTATCATGTAGACACATAAGCTGCACAATCCAACCAATCATTAGGCAAAAAGCAGAAAAATAACAAGAAGAAAAGGGAAAGGAGGACCAGGATGATATGATAAAGAAAAAGAAAAAGGATGAGGAGAAAAAATAATCAGAAGGAGGATGAGGAGGCATGGAAGATGAGGTGAAGAAGATGAAGAATATTACCAATCACCTCAGTAAGTGTGAGGCTACCGATGCATGAGCCGTCAGCTTGCCCTGGTACAGCTGCTGTGACGACCACCTCATGATATCCTCATGCATGCGGTACTGAACAGTCAACATCCTCATGATGTCCTTGCCTTTTTCTTCAACAAGAGTCTTCAGCAGCCGCTCCATCAGAGTTACTTCTAATCCAGCAGCAGCAGCTCTGAAGATGCATCAATCATTTTCAATAATTTAATAAACCTCAACATGACTTTATTATCTTCCTGGGGAGGGGGAGGAGACAGAACAGGAGGATGATGATGATGTCTCCAATAACCTCAGTAAGTGTGAGGCTAAAGGTTACATGAGCTGTTAGAAAATGGTAGAATCACTACTATGGAGCTTAGGGAGAGATAAAGGTCCCAGTCAATGAAGGAGATGAGAGAAGATGCTAGTGGTGTTGAGTAAGATACATACAGCACTAAAACCAGCTAATAGATTCACTAGAATGTTCTTTCTTTGTAATCTGCATGGTAAACGAAATATAATGCACACACATACACAAACAGACACACATATATATTCATATGCCCAGATGGGTAGACATGCACTTGCACACATATATTTGCAGGCAAACACACATACAGACAAACACCAAAGAGTATGCACAGAAAGACAGGCACACTCACAACTTCAATGCTTTTTAACTGGTTTTTGTTGTGAACTACTGATTCCGAAAATGGCAAGTAGCCTACTGCCGGAGAAATGGTGGTGTCTTATGTGTTTAATTGCGTGGGCAACTACCAATGTGCACTAATTCAATCAACAAGAAACTGCTTTTCTAGAGGTGGACTGTTTGTGTTGGCAACTTGTGACCACTGCTTTATGCTGCTGGCTTTTGTAGATTACCATCTGTACCAATTTCTTCACAAGGGACCGTGATGGACATCCTGTGTGGTCTTGGTTAGCACAGAAATGGAACAACTAGGGGGTGACCTGTGTGCTGTGAAGCTGAAACTGCAATTACGTCACCTGATATGTTTACAGTCACCTCTAGTAACATGACCACTTACTGTTTGGACAATATGGTGGGTGGCAGCTGTAAATGGTCTCCTGCCAGGACACAGCGAGGGGCTCTCATCAGTCCCATCCAGCAGGCAGCTTCCAGGGCCTACGGTTAACAGACAATCACACAGAATGCAGACATGCTATAAAGTGTGTTTCGGCTTTACAGAACACAATGCAATAAAAACCATATTGCTAAGCACAAGCCTTCATCAGCAAGCAAGAGAAAAACAAAAAACACACATACACGCACATACACAAATAATCTTCTTTTTTCTTTTGTTTTGTGTGCACAACCATTTTACATGTCTGACATATTTGTATGCAGACTGTTGGCTCCTCGTCTCACATGTAGATGCATTCCGGCTTTGAAGGAAACCTCTCTAATTAGTCACCTTTTTAAGACATGCTTGTCGTGGGTGTAATCTTTTCCACCAACAGAATTAGGTCTAGAACCAACTCTGGGGAAAACATGATGCTGAAGGTTTAATTTTTAAAGCTTGTTTTTACATATTCTCTGCTTTTCCTGCTGTCTGCTAAGTTCAACATATGTCATGAAGAGATGTTAGAGACACAGTGACAGGTCAAGGAATGAGTAGCAAACAAGACTTGAGGATGGTAACAGTTCAATGAATGAATGACAAACAAAAGACTTGAGGATGGGGAGAGGTCAATGAATGAATGATAAACAAAATACTTGAGGATGGTGAGAGGCCAATATATGAATGACAAATAAAAGACTTGAGGAAGGTGATGAGAGGAGAGGGTCAATGAATGAATGGCAAACAAAATACTTGAGGATGGTGAGAGGTCAATATACGAATGGTCAACAAATGTCTTGATAGTGGTGAGGGATCAATGAATGAATGGCAAACAAAAGACTTGAGGATGGTGAGATGTTAATGAATGAATGGCCAACATAAGACTTGAGGATGGGGAGAGGTCAATGAATGAATGGCCAACAAATGTCTTGATAATGGTGAGGGATCAATGAATGAATGGCAAACAAAAGACTTGAGGATGGTGAGGGATCAATGAATGAATGGCAAACAAAAGACTTGAGGATGGTGAGATGTTAATGAATGAATGGTAAACAAAGAACTTAGGGACTATGAGAGGCCAATTAGTGAATGGCAATAACAACAACAAGAATGAGAAGAACTCACCTGAGAACACTCATCGATCACAACCAGGTCGAAGTGATCCTCCTTCAAGTACTTCAACGGCCCATCATTTGACGTACTGGTCAAGGTGCCTAGAACCACATCAGCCCTAGTCAGAATATCCCTGGTTGCTGCCACCTCCCTCTTTGTGGATTCCGTTCTCAGAGTCTTTAGCTCCTGCCTGAGGGACTGTCTTTCTCCGTATCCTTTGGCTTTCTTCAGTTTGGTCTGTTGTAAGTAGAACAGCAAGTAAAGAACCCTTTATACGCCTGTGGCACATGAATTATTATGAACGGTTCAGAGTGCTCGGTTCAAGTTTGAATACTTGGTGAGGAGATGAATTGTTTGCCTCTTAAGGCCAAAAAAAAAAATCCTAACCTGCACAGGCTTTGGTATTAGTCCCAGATCCTCAGACTCAAAGACCCCCTTCTTACACCACAGAAAGTGGTAAATACAGGAAGCAGCTGGCAGTGGCGTACAGGTCATGTGACGCTAGAAATAATTTTATTATAAGATCAGTGGTCACTCTGGAGGTGATATGCTCAACATTATGCCATCCACTTTTACTTTCTAGGGCACTACCTAGTGCCCATTTGAAGCTGGTTCAACATGAGAAGCAAGGTCAATTTTAAAGAGAAAAAAAATCTGACCTGATGTGGATTTGAACCTATGTATTGGCAGGCAAGTGTTAGTTACTAATGTAGTATGCAATTTGACAGGACACTGTTTACATGACAAAGTATTGCATACAATGCAAAGAATTGCAGGCAACACCTGTTTCACAAACTTCCACTGGTTAACGCATCAACACTCATCCTGTCAACCAAATATAACAATGGGCTTTCCACACCTTCTGTACATACTAAAATCAGTTAGCACACAACAGATATGCTATTGCAGCTGTCGACTGTAATGAAACGAACAAAGTAATATTCAACAACATAAAACATGTTCTCATATCAAAAAACCTCAATTAAACATTATGGCTGACCATGGATAAAAGATAATGCAGTCTCCATAATGAAGGCTGGCTGCAAAATATCCACTGATCTTCTTCTTATTTTTCTTCTTCCTCTTCTTCATCTTGTCTTCTTCTTCTTCTTCTTCTTCTTCTTCTTCTTCTTCTTCTTTGTATTTACTGGCTGTAAACTCTGGCAGAAAAGTTATAGTTGTTTATCCACTTCGGAACTTTGCTCTTGTTCCTGAAATTGAGTGTTTTTGTACACATCCACTTCACAGATCTGACTTATTGACTTATTTTTATAGGCAGACTGTTGTTTCCACACATCTCAAACAGATGCACACAACTTCCAAGGAAACACGCCTAATTAGCCGACCTTTACAATACACTTGTTAGGTGGACAGTGGGTCTATTTTCTCCACCCCCCCCCCCCCCCCACCTCTTTTCCCAAAAATGGGCCCCAGAAAACACACAAGAAGTACCACTGTTTGAAAGCAACAAGTAACAGTTTCTTATTCTTCTAAACCGCCTGCTGTAGGAATTAGTGCACCAGGGACTGTGAAATGATTTCACTTAACTAATACACCATCAAGTGTCTAAATGACCATCATAGGTAATTATGTTTTGCCACATCTTAAAATCCAACAGCATGTATCTGTTCATATGCTGCTATTTTGATAAAACCTGGGTTTTGGCTGCTCGTAGTCCGGTCCTGGTGGGGGGTGAATGTAACTTATCAATCTATTGTTGGCACCATTACAGATGAAAGTGTTATACTGTGATATAGGGATGGAAGGGAATCACTGCCCATGGCAATACTGAGTTTGACTTTAGTTTGACATTCTGCTTGTTTCTATAAAAATCTTACCCCCTCTCCATAGTACAAAGCCTGCACATTATCAGAGAGATCTTGTCTTGTCCTTGCAGCAAGTTCCTTCACTTGGTCTGCCTTGTTTACTCCAAAGGAAAAGTAACACTAGTATGTTTGGAATAAAACATGCTGCAGAAGCCACCAGATCAGAAGAGGAGTGCTCTGTCTGTCTGCTAACTAAGCTTCCCTCCTAGATCAGCTGCCAGCCAAGGCTAAGAGCCTGGCAGAAAGTTACGTTTCTTCATCCACTTCTGGACTTTGGTCTTGTTTCAAAACTAGTCTTGCGTGCACAGATTTAGCTTATTTGTATGCAGACTGTTCGTTCCTCACCTCTCAGGCTGAGACTTCAAAGGAAACACCCTTAATTATTCGCCTCTTATGACATGCCTGTTAGGATGGAGTGGGTGTATTCTTTTTTTCTGCCAAAATGGAGCCCCAGAACCCAAATGGTGAAATAAAACATTACTGTACGTGAACGTACCAAAACATTCTGTAAATCCGTCTTCACATCTTTGACAATGCTGGCCTCGTCACTGCCCAGCAGCATGGCATCCAATGAATACTTCTGCAAGTGGCTCAGCAACCTGGCTGGATGACCAATGCGGACAATCTTTTGCTTATAGTTTGCCAACCTCTCCACCAGGTTGTCTACTGCAATGTTTGAAGGTGCCGTGGCCAGAACCTGTGATAAACATTTTAAAACTGTCAGTGACTGCTGATGAATTCCTGGCTACAGAACTTAGGTGGGGAAACAGTTCCAGTCAAGGTGCCTTTCATACTACTGGTTCCATGAATCATACAATGGATTTTCTGTCCAGGATATTCGGGTGTGCGGGGTAATAAGCAGGCTTATAGACTGGCTGCTGCCACTTCTCTGAGAGGTGAGCAACTTTATGATAAAGCAGATGTGGTCAAGGCTGTTTGGTATCAAATGAACAGTGCAACAGAACCGACAGAGAACACATACACTGAAAGACTAATTCAGCAAAGGGTAAGTAGAGGTTCTGAAAGATATTTTACATGGAGAGAGAAATAAAGGCAGACTTTTAATCAGGTTGCGAATGGTACTATTAGAATTAGCATGTCGATTCTTCGCTGGCTAATGAGGAAGGAGATGAAGCAAGTGTGGGTCCTGAGTGCCGTGATGTCAATCCATTCATTCATTTATTCACTTACACTACTGGTGAATTGGACAAAAAGTGCTGGACCTATGTATTCATTCAGCATTCAACTAGTAATATCAGCTGCTTTTACTTCCCAATAATTTTTGTTGGGGCAGGGGGAGTTGACCTGGAAGACCTAGAACAATTAAAGAACTACCTTCATTGTAGATTCGAACCCAACACCTTCAGGTCAACATGCAAGCATCTAGTCAATGGGCCCCCATCCCACAGAACTAGAGGTGGACATAAACGTCAGATACATAAATTTTCTTCATTTGTCTTGGTGATGTAAATGTGTTGCGCCTGTTTATAGCATAGCTTCGATATTTGCTTCTTTTGGCTGACAGATCCGACTTCTTCAGGCATTTGTTATCCAGGTTAACCTTCCCTGGTTAATTTTGTGGACATCTGTAGCCTCATACGTATGGTGACTTTGTCATCATTTAATCCGCAGGTGTTGTCCCTTAAGGACCCGTCCAGAGCAGCTGCGTGCAAACTGACTGACTTTAGGAAAGACAGGGGTAGAGCATGGGCATTCCCCGCCACCCAAGGAGCTCCCATAAATGCTTAGCCAAGACATGGTGCTCTAGTACTGGGCTCACCCAAGATATCATAATGTCTTACATATGACTGCTAAACCTCCCCACAGTATACTGAACCGCAGCTACATACATTAAATCAAGGATATACTATGGATACCATGTAAAGTCCTGGGAAGTAAAGACGGCCAGCATGATGCTGACCACATTACCCATCAAGTGCCAGATAGTCTAAAAAAAATTGGTCTAGCCCTATATGCCCAATACAGCTAAAAGCATGGAAAAGGACTATTTTCTTTTCTCACTTGAGTCTGGTCAGAATTGGGATTCCAGGTCATCATTCCTATACTAACAAGGGGATCTAGCCGGCGCTCAACACTCAGGGAAAAGACGAGACAGATATACAATCAGACAGTTACTGGTGCCATCGGAATTGGAAATCTTCGCTTGCTGCTGAAGATGGGGACGGGGCTTATGAGAGTGTCCCAAGTGCTGTGATGTTAATTCTTAATTCAACATTGAACATTCAAATGTCCTATACTACTAACAACTACCAGAACCCTTTTCATAATGTTAAAGGTTAAAGTCAAGAGCATTGACTTCATTGCACCGGGTTTTATCCCATATGGCTCGGCCTCTCCCCACAGAATAGCTAGCCACCTGCAGACAGCGTCTTACAAAACACGAACTCCGTAGCTCTGACAATCCCCAGAGATCTCCGCAAAAGTTGCATTTGTAAGCTGAGCAGGGCAGCCATGAAACCCACAACCTTCAGATTGTGAGGCAAATGGCTTGCAAACTTCACCACGGAAATCCCCTTTTCATGATAAAAGGTGCATAGTTTTAATTTCTATATTTGTTCACCATCACCCAATTCCACTGCCTTGTCTAGAATGGTTTGCAGACTAATGCAAACCCCCCCCCCCCCCCCAATTGTCTAGAATGGTTTGCAGACTTAAGAACCCCCCCCCCCCCCCCCAACTGTCTAGAATGATTTGCTCACTACTTGTCCCCACCCACTTTACTTAGAAAGTTTTGCTGACTACTGTGTGATACCTTGAGTCCCTGCCTGACTGCCTGAATGATGAGTTCCACCACAGTCGTTGTTTTGCCTGTACCTGGCGGGCCATGAATGACAGCCACCTCTCTCTGTGTCAGTGCAAACTTGACAGCCTCCTTCTGGGACTCATCCAGCGATCCATTTACAAAAGTAATTGCTGAAATAGGAAGCTCCCAATTAGTGGACTCTTACGACATGCTTTTGGGCAGACACTGGGTCTATTCTTCTTTTTCACCACAATGGGCCCCCGTAACCCACACAGGGAAATCAGCCATTTTTTTTAAAATCAGCTATTAACAAAACAAAACAAAAAATTTTTTTATTTTATTTAGCTACTAGATAACATCCACTCCCCCCCCCCCCCCCCCCCCCCACTTTTCTTTACTTTCAGTACCAGACTGTTATTTAGATACAAATGTGTGTGTGTGGCGAGCCTTGGTATGTGTTACGTAGATGTTACTATGTAAAGCCTAGGATATTCTATCTATCCACTGGTCAACCTCTGACTCTGCTTCTATTCTGTCTAAGTGACAGGGACTGTCAAAACCAGTCATGTGACTTTCATTCTTTCAGACATTTAAAAATGCTTTCAAGGGATAATGACTCCAAACAAACACAGATGTCATGACAGTGATAACCAAATGGTCCAATGAGTGACCAGAGTTCTTCTTTGTGGTGACATCTGCCAACTCCCTAAACAGTGTGGTGTGTGTCGAAATGCCTGCAGTGACTTTCTCAGCCAAAAGCAGTGAGTGCTTCATTTGTAACAGTTGCTTTGCTTAATACTGTTACAGCTACTGTTTAAACGTTTGCAATAAAACCAAAAGGCTTGGTCTCATTTGATTGGCCTCAAATACAGGGTCATCGAGAATGATTGCTGGGATTTTAAATCGCTATTAAAAAAGAAGTATTTGATGCATTTATGCGTGTAGCTTCTTAAAATGTTCAGAAAAGTTTAAAATATTTAAGTGACAGGGGTGAGAAGATGAGGATTATCCCGCATCTCAAGGAGATGGTCGCTGGCGCAACTGTAACTGTAACTCTGGATATGATTCAGAAGACGTGGCAGGAGTCTGAATACAATCTAGATATCAACAGCGCTATAAATGGTGCTTATACCAAAGCCTACTATAGTAAATCTAAAATCTGGAACTTTTCTGAACATTGTATATGCCACACGTGTATATCCCTTAAATACTTCTTTTATAATAACAGTTTAAAATCCCGGCAATCATTCTCGATGTCCCCGTTTAGATCGCTGATGCTTCTTTTGTTGACTACACTCAGGCCATCTGGGAGTTAGTGAACAGTGTAGAAGCACAAACAGATCATCACAGTCTGAAGCGAATGGTGCAGTTCGCAGTGAACAGTGCATCTGGCCAACACTCAACACCCAGAAGGAAAAGCCAGACGGACATACAATCAAACAGCCACTGGTATCAGAACTGGAACTCTATACTGGCTGCTGAAGGATGCGAGAATGTCAAGCGGAGCACTTATGGGAATACCTTGAGTGCGGTGATATCAGTTCTTAACAATGTGCTTGTTATGTTGCACATTGGTGTGTGTTTTTTCATGGTGATTCTTGTTGTGACTGCTCCAAGTCTTCTTCTTCTTCTTCTTCTTCTTCTTCTTCTTCCTCTTCTTCTTTTTCTTCTGCTTCTTCCCCTCCTCCTCCTCTTCGTCCTGTTACCTCACTGAAGTACTGGGTATCTTGTAACCAGTATTAACATTTTCCCAATCACTACAAAATATTAGACTCTAAACTATAGAGCTTTAAAAACAAGTTTTTTATTTTCAACTCAAATGTTATCTAAATTTTAGCACAGTCAATGAAAGAAGGAGAACCACCAAACACATTTTTTTGTAATACCTGAGGAAATGTATGAACATTAAATAGGATGAAGTCAAGAAAGGTAAACAAATAACAGAAAAGTCTGGACAATATTTGTTCAACAGTCATAAGACAAAGAAGGTGGGACTACACTGGGCACATCCTGGGGAAAAAACTAACAGAGAATCATCAACCAGGCATTGAATGAAATAGGAAGGAAATGGACTGAGGAAATGAGATGTCATAGAGAAACCCTAAAATGAAAGTTGCTGAGAGAAGCCAAAGATGCTGGACTGGATTTCACCCCTGACATTAAAAGTCCTGTACAGGATATAACAGAATGAAGGACACGACTGTCAGTCCTATGTGAAATATAAGGGCGCAACACAATGAAGATGATGTTGATTTATAAAAATATCTTTGTGGTACTTGATTCTTCTTGACAATATGATTCTAATTCTAGTGGCTCATACAGCAAAATGATGTCTGCTTCTAGTATTGTTCCATATCTTAGTGCTATCTCAGTTTTTAAAACCTAATAAACATGCACCATAATAAACAGGGTCTACTTCTTCTTTTCCTCTTTGAGTTCACTGGCTGTAAACTCTGGCGGAAAGTTCTGGTTTTTCATCCATTTTTTAACTTTAGTCAAGCCCCAGTACTTGAGTTGTGTGCGTGCATATCTACCTTATAGATCTGACTTATTAGGTGGCAGACTTTGGATTCTTTACGGCTCAGGCGATGCACTCTGACTTCAAAGTAAACACCCCTACTTAGTCAACTTCTACAATATGCATATTAAGGAGCAGTGGGTTAACCCCCCCCCCCCCCCCCCCCCCCCCCCCCCCCGGACTAAAGGCCCAGGAATCCATATGAGGATCCGCAGTAATAAACCTCAAGGGCCCAGAATTTTGAAAAAGTCACAGAAGAACAAAAATGCTGGTATGTAACTTACGGAATTCTCCAAATGGAGGTGAAATTTCTTCCAGATTGAAGAAAGTGTCAATAAGTCTCTGGGTTGGTCCTCCTCTGTATTTGGCTAAATCATTCAAAACTCTGGCAATAAAAAACAAATTTTTGTAATCACTTAGAATCAAATGCTTGCAGAGATGATTAAAACTGATGATTTCTTCTCCTCCTGTGTTCTTCTTTAGAAGTGCTGAATATAACACAACATGTGACTAGAAAGCTCAATGTAGGGAATGGAAAAGATACACACAAACCGAATATTTTGACCAAAGTCTTTATCTACAGAGTATTAAATACAGCACAAACTGTGACTGGAAAACTCAATGGACAAGGCAACAAAGCTAGTTAAAAAAAAAAAGATGTTATCCTTTGATAAAGACTTTGGTTACAAGGTACGGTTGCGCTTGTGTGTGTCTTTTCCATTCCCATTGTCTAGTGACTTTTTTAGCATTCCTACAATTAGCTCGACTGCAGTGACCCCTTATTTACATCTTCCTTAGAAGGGGTGCTGACATATTCTGTTGTAGTTCAAGATAGACTGTGATGTCTACACCTATCTGTCCAATACCTCTGATTTCAACAAGCCCACAATTAGTCACCATTTACGACATGTTTGTTAGGGGGCAATGGGTCTGTCCTTGTTTTATCACAAAATGGGCTCTTATGCTCCATAGCATGTAATCATACCAGAATAGACCCGCAATTAACACTAAAAGCTGGAAGAAGAGAAGAGATGTTTCTTTTTCTTCTTCTTGTTCTTCATCATCATCATTCACCACATACTACTGTGGGGTGGGGGTGGGGAACTGGGAGCAGAGGGGTGTCTATTCATATAGCAGCATGTGTTTCATTCATTAAATCCTTTGCTGTACTGCTGTGCCATTGTATGTCACATAGGGATCACAGGCTATTTCTCCATTCCGTTCTATTATTTACTTATACTTTCAGTCTCCATCTTTGCATTTGTCCTCAAAAGAGAAGTTGGTATGTTGTGTTGTGGTTTACAGCTAGGCAGCAAATATCTGCATCTTTCAGCTCAACACACTAGATGTAGCAAAGCCTAAATAGTCACCTTTTACAACATGCTTGTTAAGTAGAAGACAGTGAGCCTATACTCCCAACTCCCTTCCTCCTCAAAATGCAGCCCCCGGAACCCACACGGGGTCCCGTTATGGGTGACCAAAAAGTAAACATCAACCTTTACTCTCCTATACTCACGCCTTCAATCTTCTGTAAGTTACGTCATTTGCCAGCTTGGTCAGCTTAAAGAGGTCATCATCATCCAGCTCAAACACGTCCTGCGACTCATCAAATGCCACAGAAATGTTTGAAGCAGTGACCTGCGACACTATTCCCGTCATCAGCGGCTTGTCAGTGGCTTCACTTTTCATCAGACCAACACCAACAATGTCACCTGGAAAACAGGTGTTACTGTAATGATTTTTATCATAATGATAGAGTTTTACCCCATTAAGATAAACATCTACCTAACATAATTTATATGCAAAGAGGCAGGGCTTAAAAAGGATAGACAAGAAAAAAAACAATCAGGAGGTGACTGAGTATAGGAAGCAGTGTTAGTTATGTGTGCCAAATGAACACATAATCAGAAGGGTGAGAGAACCAACCAGTGTTCTGTGTTTGGCCCTGGAACGAGCGGCATAGAAGAATTAGTGCAAATAAATCTGAAAACTGTCTACTAAAGCAGCCTGCAGTGGCCATGAATATCTGGCCAACTGTGACTATCAAGACGGATGTCAGTGTGGTGACTACCAGCTGTTTTGACTGAATATGTCCATGTGAAGTCGATTGTCTATGAACTTAGGATGCATGCAGAATTGTCTATCAAGAGTTGTAACGTGACATGTGTGATAGATTTTAGCTGAGTTCTCTCCAATCATAACCTTTGATTAGTGTCAGAGAAGAAACAATGCAGACTGGAACAGATATAAAACCTACTGTATGTCTGGCCTTGTGTTCCAGCCAGTCTGTTGTCAATTTCTGCATGCAGTTTGTCACTGCTGCCTTATAATGGGACAAGCAAAGTCCCAGTCCTCTGAAATATTACTTGAAAGAGGAGGAGGAGCAGCAAGAGAAGAAGCAAGAGGAGCATGAGCAGAATGAGCAGAAGGAGTATGAAAACTGTACTGATAGATGACTTACCTGGTGTCAGACTGTGAGCCGGCAGTTCTGATTTTTCATTCTTCTTTACAGATCTGGCACTGGGTTCAAACACTGCCACCATCCTCCCATACAATCCTGACCTGCGTGACCTCAGCTGCAGCTTTAACAGACATACTCCTCTGCGCTCTAATTCCTTTGCTGACAATCTTTCTATCAGAAACCTAAAGTTTAAGAACATTAACAAACATTCAAAAATCATCATCATCACATAGTGCAAGCATATTAAACTGAAGTTCCCCGAGAGCCATTTGGGTCAAATGCTGTCGTCATGAGGGCCACATACAAGAGCTAATTGGAATCATTTAATAAAACTCACTGCAGAATATTTCCTTTGTGTGGGCCGCAGGAGTGCTGCAAAGGTCTACATGCAGCCTGCCAGCTGCCAGTGTGACATGTCTGATATAGCAGGTCCTGTGCAGAACGCCGCTCTTATCACAGCCCGTCTGAAAGAAACTTAGTCTCTTGCCAGATCTCCTGTCTCATAAAAATTCGGAAACAAAATGTCACTTGTATCCTGCTCCTATTTTGCTGCAGACCCTGCACCTCTTTCCTGGCACCATGCCTTCTGCTACCATTCTTACCAATCATGGTGGTGCTTGACCTGGTTAATATATTTCAGTTTCCCAGACAAGATGCTGTTTATTAGCCAATCTTCCTTGATGTTCAGACCTTTCAGGAAGTCAGTATTGCTTTTCTTCTTGGTCTGTGGTAGTCTGAGAATTTCTGAGAAGAATTTCACTTCCAAAGCCCCTATTTTCCTCCTCAATGACTGCGGGACAGTTCAAGACTTATATCCATAAGCTGCTAAGGGAAGATGCATGCCCTCAAAATTCTAATCTTGATTTCCTTGCTGGTGCTTAACGCTTTTAACGCTGTTTAATATTTTTTTTTAAATAATCAAGATTTAACAACTGTTTTCCTTCTGGTTCAAGAAACATACTATGTATTAATTCTTATCAATGTTGACTTTTCCAGGACTGCTGCATGTTCAAATTTCACCATGGGATAGTCAGAGGCATTTTCTGTGGCTTTTTGCTGACACAGGAACAGAGCATCTATGGGGTGACTCACTTATCGTGAAATGCAGGTTACTACAAACAAGTCCGAAAAGTGACATTTTTGGGGAACTGTACCCAATCAGGAGTGTTGGGTTTGGGGTTTCCTGTGGCAAAAGGGTTAAGAGTGCTACAGCTTTTAGAGTGGCCAAAATATGCAAATTCCCATTCTGGAAGGCAGGTCCTGTACAATCCACTAGAAATAACCACTAGCCTCTGAAGACTGGTCTGGTTAAAGAGTACTGCACAAACCTGTGATAAATAGTATCTTTGCTCTATTATGAGCAGGCAGACAGATGACCTGGTTCTGGGAAGTGATGAATGGATGCATGACAAGCTAGATGTAGTCAAGGTCCCTTGGCAGCAAATGTATGACAAGTTAGATGTAGTCAAAGTCCCTTGGCAGCAAATGCATGACAAGCTAGATGTAGTCAAGGTCTCTTGGCAGCAAATGCATGACAAGCTAGATGTAGTCAAAGTCCCTTGACAGCAAATGTATGACAAGCTAGATGTAGTCAAGGTCCCTTGGCATCAAATGCATGACAAGTTAGATGTAGTCAAAGTCTCTTGGCAGCAAATGTATGATAAGCTAGATGTAGTCAATGTCCCTTGGCATCAAATGCATGACAAGCTAGATGTAGTCAAGGTCCCTTGGCAGCAAATGCATGACAAGCTAGATGTAGTCAAGGTCCCTTGGCAGCAAATGTATGACAAGCTAGATGTAGTCAAGGTCCCTTGGCAGCAAATGCATGACAAGCTAGATGTAGTCAATGTCCCTTGGCATCAAATGCATGACAAGCTAGATGTAGTCAAGGTCTCTTGGCAGCAAATGCATGACAAGCTAGATGTAGTCAAGGTCCCTTGGCAGCAAGTGTATGACAAGCTAGATGTAGTCAAGGTCCCTTGGCAGCAAATGCATGACAAGCTAGATGTAGTCAAGGTCTCTTGGCAGCAAATGCATGACAAGCTAGATGTAGTCAAAGTCCCTTGGCAGCAAATGTATGACAAGCTAGATGTAGTCAAAGTCCCTTGGCAGCAAATGTATGACAAGCTAGATGTAGTCAAGGTCCCTTGGCAGCAAATGTATGACAAGCTAGATGTAGTCAAGGTCCCTTGGCAGCAAATGTATGACAAGCTAGATGTAGTCAAGGTCCCTTGGCAGCAAATGTATGACAAGCTAGATGTAGTCAAGGTCCCTTGGCAGCAAATGCATGACAAGCTAGATGTAGTCAAGGTCTCTTGGCAGCAAGTGAAAAATGCGTAAGTATGAATAAATCAGATATGTCTAAAGAGAATGTTGCAGTGGGGAGTGATCAAAAGGATCTGGTCGACATTCTACATTCAAATAAAAGGCAAAATGGACATTTTATCGCTGTTACTGGCATTATGATTATTATTGGGACTGCTTTGGTTGCTGATGAAGATGGAGATGATTGCTTAGGGGAATGTCCCTAGTGCTGTGATGTCAAGAAAATGTTTCAGCCAGCTGATACTGACACAGAATTTGAGTTGTACTGATTTATTTTCACATTATGCGAGTATTTCATTTGCCTTCCACTACAGTGTTCGGCAATTGGCGGTCTTTTGGCAATTTCCGTTACCATGGAAACCGTTCGAAACTTGCTTCGCAAATGTCGGCTGGGGTTTCGGGATGGATCCTAATCTCTTATGAAATTTTGCGATTGGTGTGATTTTTACCCACAAAAAGCTGAAAACAGCGGGAAGAAACCCGATTAACAGCGCATGTCTACGGCAGCCGGACGTCCTCTGTTTTTCTGTTACATCAGTTTGATTGAAAAAAGCGATAAGTATTCAGGGTTGGCTTTAGGCTTTAACTGTTACTGTACCTGGTAATGCTAGTTATAATTGAATTCTCCGTCCAATTTTACATTTGTGTATAAAATTTCTTTCTGGTACGGGGCTAGGTAGATGTACAGTGACATTTTTCAGGCAATCGCTGGCTCAGCCAGTCTCATTGTCTGCCATCTTGTCCAATGCAAACAAAGCCAAAACGAAAGTTGCGCAGTTTGGTTGCGCAGAGAAAAGTTCTTGTTTCTGGGAGGCAAGTTTTAGCAGCTGTTTTTTACATCTCATCTCCACAAAAACCTACATATCTCAGCTCAGAAATGACATACAAACCAAAATGAGGTACCGTTGGAAAGAGATTGTTTACAGCTATCTAACTGTGCTGGTTTTATTGGTGTAGATGGCATTTTAAAAATTTGACTAAAGTACCTATGACCACACTGAGACTTCCTAGTGCAATGAAAACTTGTCTTGACTTCTGTATTATTTTTATATCTCTCCACTTTTCTTTAGCTTTCACATCACCAAGTGAGGTCTGTGTATTTTTTTAAGGTAAAAAAGTGACATTTTAACAATAATAAACAAAATTAGAAATTAGCAACAAGATGAACAACAGCAGTTTTCAGTTTAATTTCATTTTAACTGTTCAATGACAGAATGACAAGAAATGAAACCTCAATTCGAATGAGAATACCAGACAAACAGTATGTGTTATCTTACTGTGTCTCTTCTATTTCAGTGTCTCTTTCTTTATCCAGAAGCTCCAAAGTATTCTGAACGAAAGTCTCCACCGCCGTCATGTTGACAAATTTGATATGACTGGACGCAGCAGCCGACAACTTGGGTACCTGAGCTATTGGTAGGGACACCGGCCGTGAGTTGCGTTCACTTCGGGTCTTCTTTTCCTCGTCTGGGTTCTGGGGCCACATTGTGGGGGAAACAAAAATAGACCCACTGTCTCCCCAACAAACATGTGGTAAAAGTCGGTTAATTTATAGTTTCCTTCGAAATCGGAGTGCATATGCCTAAGAAACAAGGAACCACAATCTGTATACAAATAAGTAAGATTTGTAAAACGTTTGTGCACGCAACATTCAGGTTCTGGAACAAGACTAAAGTCCTGGGGTGGACGAACAACCAAAATTTTACGCCAGGTTTTTTTTTTTTTTACAACCGGTGGGCGCGAAGAAGAATAAGAAAAGTTTTTCTGCTACTTTGCCATTAAAAGGCAGGATGTGGTGTGGTTTACAGCTAAGCTGTGATATCTGCGCCTTTCTACCCAACGCATTCGATTTAAGAAGCATAGTCCTAATTAGTCGTCTTTTACAACATGCTTATTGAAAGGAGCAGTGGATTTTTTGCTTCCCCTAGCCCTACCTAAAATGGGGCTCCGGAACCCACAAAGAGAGAAAGGGTTCAGACATTGCTCTCCGTGCATTTCCATAAGTGCTCCGTCTAATCTTTAACATCCATTCCGATTTACCCCCCCCCCCCCACCCCACCCCCAAGGACTTTGGCAACTTCAAGTTTGTCATGCATCAGTTAACTATCAGGTGGTGAGGAACCGGTTGATCCGTCTCTCTGTTTGTTGACCATCACACCTTGATGGCTTGAAAAAAATATTAAAACAATGCTAACTACCCAGGACCTCTGAACCCAAACTTGCAAGTCTGCTCGGAGAATGCTGTCTCAGTATTTCTCAGTATGCTCAGGGAGTCAGGTAAGACACGCGCAAAAGTGTATGCAGCTGGTTCTCGAGGCAGTAGAAGCCTGCCGTCAGAGCCGGATTTAGACATGAGCTAAATAAGCCACATCTTAGAGCCTCACAATCTGCAAGGGCTTCAAAAATATTCTATTTTTTTCCATAAACGCAATTTCCTTTTAATATGTTTTCAGTTTAGATTTTCTTTTCATGTTTGCAGTTTAGCTTTTTTTTTTTTTTTGATGTTTCACACTTTTCTCCGACACTGTCAATTTCTGTCATTATTATGGTGCGTATATTATCCCCGCCCACACCTGTGGATCGGAAGGGTGTGGGTTAGGGTTCTGACAGAGCTGGACTTCTTTTGCACAAATTACATTGGCTCCTATATAGACCCAGCCTTGAATGGGTAATCGGTACAGTCCTGGGAAGTAAAGGCAGTCGGCGTGTTGCTGACCACATCACCCAGTACGATTGGTATATAAAACATAGGTCTAGTCATGTATGCCCTATACACTTGAAGGCTTTAAAGTGGTCCTTTATTTTATCTCAGGCTTTTATTTATTCGAACTTGAGGCCTATTGAAACTGAATAAAATAATTAGCTTAGTATACGTCAATTTCCACCTTTTTGGGAGAGGGGGGAGGGGGGGGGGGCTCTTAACTTGGGTCCTCTCGGCCATTCATAGTGTAAACTGTAAGGTAGTTTCCAAATATAGACGTTAGTCTACGGGTTTTGCTGCCTGAGCTACTGATTTTAGTGCTTGGTGCAGCCCTGTGAGCTGTGTTTTTTCCCGTGGAATGCCTTCCATTTGTGCAGCAGTTGTGTCGTGGTATTTAAAATGGCCGGTAGCCGATTTATGTGTGAGCTGGTGAAATACCTTATGTAATAATTATACGTGTTCCCCGTGTGAGTTCCGGGGCCCCATCGTGAGGAAAACAAGAATAGACCCTCTGCCTACCCAAAAGCATGTAGTAAGAGTCGACTAATTGGCGAGCTTCCTCTGAAGTCTGAGTGCATCTGCCTGAGAGGCAAGGAACCAACAGTCTGCATTCAAGTGAATCAGATCTGTAAAACTGATGCACACGCAACACTCAGGTTCTGGAGCAGGACTGCAGTTCAGAAGTGGACGAACAACCAGAACTTTCCACCAGAGTGTACAGCTGGTGAACGCTAAGAAGAAGAAGAATTATACGAGTGTATAGCCAACTTATCGTGCCCGACTACTTCCATCAACGACAGACAGCAGTTGTAGTGGCGACTGTTTGTTTTGGCGTCTCTAGCAACTGTCACGTGAATTCACTAAGTGCAGTTGTTGTGGATTTGCCGAGACTAATTGTTTGTTCACCAGTTTCTTCAAATGGGACAGTGGGGGACATTTCATTTGATTTTCACTGGCACAGGAACGAAGCAAGTATGCGGAAACCCGATTGCAGGGAAGTTGAAACCTCGACTAAAACTAAGACCAAACTGTAAGATAAATTTACGTGTTTTTTGTCGTTACCGATTTTGGGTAATCTGGTAAAATATGGGCATTAAAAGATAACCCCCCCCCCCCTCTTTCCTCATGAAGGGTAATGCTCATCTGGACTCCATACATGACATTGAATCGGTTAAACAGGAATGAACGGCATGTAGAAAAAGAGTGTGAGCCCTGTGTGACATAATGGACAACAGAACAATGATGATGATGATGGTTCACATTACCCAACTTTTTAACACACACAAACCGGAACCAACAAAGGGGCGATACTCCGGCCTCCAAGTTCATCGCTGGCTTCACTTCATACTGTCGCAAGATGAACTCCTTTACCTCCAGGCTCAATTCCTTGTTTGCTTTCACACTCAGTGTGATGGCAGCCTTAACATTTTTATGTTTCTTATCGACATTTTTCAATGACCATATTAGACCAGTTGATATTAAAGTTGGGAAAGTGACGGTGTAAGTTTGCTGCTTCGTTACACATTGAATTGTCTGCTGTCTTGTAAACGCTGACGTGTTCATAGTTAACTAAGTGAATACTAAACTACTAATTAAATTAGTAAAGTTAAAAGGCGCTTTCAAAGTTATTGGAGCATAAGGCACATAGGGCTGGACATATTTTAATTGGCCAATCGGCAGTCGATGTGTGATGTGATCAGCAACATGCCGGGTGCTTGTGTAGACTTTTAGTGACTTGCTAAACTATTGCGCGGCGCGGGAATACTGTCGGCGATGCGGCATAGTCGCAGAAACAGGTCCGCAATTAACATATCGCTGAGACCCTCTTAGAGCGTTTGTTTGGTTATTCGGAGTCGATCCTAGTTTTGCCGTGATGTGTTCGGCGCAGGAAGTCTGCATTCTGCATAGGACTAAGGCCCTGTTAGGGTATTTGTTTGGCCGCCATAATATCGAGTAGAAGTTTGGAGAGCCCAAAATTGTACTACATAAAAAAACATTGACATCCTTTCTAAATATCCTTCAACAAGGGAAATGATCCAGGCATACAGCATAGACCTGCAGCCTAACTATACTGTCACAACAAAAATTCCAGGTGTAGACAGAAAGGCTGAAGAATGTGACCTAGTACTGCATGCAAAGACCCTTGAACATGTCTACAACTGTTAACCAAAACCAGAATGGACACACATATATACTGATGGATCATTGGAAGGAGTAGAAAAAAACAGAGGAGCTGGATTGGTCATCGTGCTGCAAGATGGGACCGCAGCAAGCAATTATTAATTAAGCCAAAGTACTTGAGGAAAGAAAAATTAAAAACAGGAAAATTGTTTTCCTTTGTGACTGCATGTCAGTCCTCCGAGAGACTCAAAGGGATCCACGAGACAACATGGAGAGAGAGTACTGACCCGCCAGCTAAACTGACTCACAGAAAACCATCAGTTCATTCTCCAGTGGATCCTGACTCGCTGCGGCATACCAGGAAATGAGTTACAAAAAAATGGAACAAAGGAGAAACAACGCACCGATCCATTGTCATTGCCAGAAATCAGAACACTTATCAAGGGAAAATACAAGAAATTGTGGAGAGAACAAAATAACAGTAAACATCCAGAAGACCCCATCAGCAGACTCAACAGAAAGCAACATACAACAATTTTCCATATCCAAACAGGGCACTGCAGGCTCAGCTACCACATGTATAAAATGAAGATACTACAGTCCCCACAGTGTGCCTGTTAAACAGGACCACAAACATCTGAGCACATTCTGCAGTACCCACTCTACCTACAACTTTGAAAAGACACCTGGCCTCAGGAGCAAAGTGTGCAGAGCAAGCTATAGGAAACCATGAAGGACCTGCTACTGACATGTGAGTTCAAAGAGGCAACCCACCTGATGGTCTGCTCTGAGCATACGAAACTGAATGCAAAGAAGAAGAAGACAAATATTTTGATTGGCCAATCGGCAATCGATGTGTGATGTGATCAGCAACATGAAGGATGCTTGTAGACTTACTTGCTTAGCTAGGACATTTCTGGAGCCCATTGTAGTCTTGTAAGTCTAAGTCTAATACCTCCGCCATTGCAGTAAATCAAGAGGTGTAACAACATACTGGGTACTGACTTTGCATTCACTATCCTTATGTGGGTTTCAGGACCCCATTGTGGGGAAAACAAGAATAGACCCACTGCCTCCACAACAAGCATGTCTTAGGAGTCGACTAATTAGGAGCTTCCTCCAAAGTGGAAGTGCATCTGCCCAAGCTGCAAGGAACAACCAACTGCACACAAATAAGCCAGTAAAACAGATGTACGCGCAAACATCAGGCCCTGGCACAAAGCCAAAGTCCAAATGGAGAAACAACCAGAACTTTCCACTGGAGCTTACAGATGGTTAACAAAGAAAAAGGAGAAGAAGCATTAATTAAACGAGCAGTTCCTGTTAAATTAGACCTGTGGACTGTGCTTCTTTTCAGAGGTTTGCCAAGATCCTATACTTTTTATTAGTTATAAAGAAGAACTTATAATTTATAAATATTAGAATCCAGAAAGTATTTTATTCTTCTTCTTTTCAAGTTCACTGGCTATAAACTCCAATATCAAGTTCTGGTTGTTCGTCCAGCTCCGGGCTCTAATTTTGTTCCAGAACCTGAGTGTTGTGTGCACATCCATTTCACAGGTCTGGCTTATGTGTGTGCAGACTCTTGGTTCCTTGTCTCTCAGGCAGATGTACTCTGACTTTGAAGGATGCCTTTAGTTAGTCGACTCCTACAACATGCTTGTTTGGAAGGCAATGGTTCTTTTCTCATTTTCCCCACAATGTGGTGCCCAGAATCCACACAGGAAGAGGTGTAGATAAGTCTCAACCAGAATGTATAATGGTTCACCACCACAAGTGGCGATACACTGACCTGATCCCAAACACAATTCATGTATGTCAACTGATACCAACAAACCCATAGTGAGTTGCTTGTTACTGCCTGGGTTACTATTATTACTTTTCTGTTACAGAAAAAATGTTCCAGATTATTCCGCCAACAGAGAAAGAAGTGACCTTGGCATCATCACATTTGATCTCCATACTGATATCCTTCAACGATGAACAAACTTTGTTTTTATAGAGTCATAAATTAGGCACGCAGGTCCATCTTACATTCAAACAGTTGGCTTTTGAACAGCTACTGCATTTTATCCAAAAAAAGCATGTTATAATTATATAATAATATACATAATATGAGTGCCAAGTTAAATACACAAAATCATGCATATTAAATGCATGCATACCTAGACACATACACACAGACAGACACACTGACATACAGACACGTACACACAGACGCACATTCATACACACAGACGGGCATGCACACACATACTTATGTATAAACACCATCATATGATGAAATAGTGTTATACTAATTGTACTTTTATTGATTCATCTGTTCACTATCATCTTCGTGTGCTGCTTATCCATCATGCAGTCAGTTCCTCCAGTCTTTTTTCTATCTTTGGCAAACTGTTCTGGATAGAATTAAGTCCCTCACCTTTAACCTCTCACACCAGCCTTTTCTCCACAGGATTTCTCTGTGACATCTTTGTTTCCTTAATCCATTTTTGTGTGTGTGGATCTGTTCATTTCTTCTCAGGATTTGCCCAGTTTATTGCCCCTTCTTATAACTGTCAGTACCAGCAGTGGCCCAGATATTTCTCTGATTTCTTTGCTTTTCATGAACTCATCCCTCTTAGTTAGAGTCATCGTGGCGTTGGTAGCTAGATACCCACCTGCGGATCAGAAGGTGGTGGGTTGGCGTCCTGACAAAGCTGGACTTTGTTTAAAAAATGATCTTCACTCTCAGGTCGACACAGCCTTGAGTGAGTACCAGGTGCAGTCCTGGGAAGTAAAGGTGGCTGCGTGATGCTGACCACCTCACCCACCAAGTGCTGATTGGTCTATAAAAATATAGGTCCAGACCTGTATTCCCAGACCTTTTACATCACTTTTAATGTTCATCATTTTCCTAAGATGTTTGTGTCTTAAATGATTTTATTTTTGTTCCGTCTCTTTACTAATGCTTCAGCTTTCACTGGCATGTGTAGAAATAACTTTTGATTCATAAATATATTACTTGGTTTTAAAATATATAATTTAGAGTTCCATTAAATTTCATTTTTTTTTTTTTAACAACAGGGATATATACATTTTGATCATTTTAAATGATTAAATAATAATAGTATGGCTGGTTTTATTGATTGGCACATGTGTTACCAGGATGCTTAAGGACAACAAAGACACTGTACTCTACCATACCATATATGTTGTGAGATACACTTGGAGCATTCACATAAACCAGGGCTGTTGAACTGGCAGTCTGAACTGGCTATTGAAGTACAGTCTGCGGCCCAGATGTGGCCCCCTAAGGCCTAGCAAGTGGCCCGCTGATCATTGCATGCTGTACTGTATTAATGATCTTTCAGTGCTCAGGCCTGTGGTGATCACCCTTTTGAAAACCTTGACCACTTAGTAAACTTAGTTGAATAGCCCTGACATAAACCCTTAGGGAAAGATATAAAACCGAACGAAAAGTATTTCAGCAAGCTTCACCATGTAACAAACCCAAACAAAACGGGAACGCTGCGGCTATGGAGCCTTCTTCAGCACATACATAGATTAGACATTACTACACAAATACACAATATCACTTATCTTCGTATCTCTTGGTAGCCAGGTTGATGTCAAGACAGTAGTTTGGTGAGGCACTTGGGGTATATCCATATCTGCAGCAGTCATCACACGGTACCAGTGATGTCAGTTATAGTGTGATTTTATGTTCATTGTGGCAATTTGCTCTTGTCTCTCAGGCTTGTATTCTCAACACTTTTCTTTATGGCAGTGAAACTTGGTCAGAATGGGAGAAATGGCTAAATAGCTTTCACATCCAATGCCCAAAAAGAATACTTGTTGTTAATTATGTGGTAAGACAAGATCGCAAACACTGAGGTATTGGAAATAGCTTTTGTTACAACAGTTTTCTCAGTGCCCAGTCTTCAAAGGCTCAGGTGGCACCATTTTTATGCCAGCTAAGCTTCTTCTTAGTGTTTACCAGTATTTTACTCACACTTGAAAAATAGAGGATGATAAGAGTCCCTAAGGGCATCCTCAATGATGAATTACAGATGGGTAGAAGATGTCAAGAATGGCCTGTGTTTAGAAAAAGGTAAAGGACCCTTTCCCGTGCCTTTAGGTGTAATGTACATATAGGGCTAGACCTATATTTAATAGAACAATCGGCACTTGGTGAGCAATGTGGTCAACATTACGCTGGCCGCCTTTACTTCCCAGGACCTTACCTGGTATCCGTTTTAAGCTGGATCAACCTGGAAGTCAAAGTCATTTTTTAAAAAAGTCCTGTTCTGTTAAGACCTGATGACCTTTGCATCCAACCACTACACCATGGCAGCTTCCCTCTGCTAGATATACAGACACGTCCAGCACTGCTCAGGTCTGGAGGTTGCCAGATTTATTAATTTCATCCTGTACTGAAAGAAATGTTAAATAATTGGTGTGCTTGTTGTTAGTGAGCTTGTTTCTCTTAACTCTATACACATTTGACTCCCATATTCAACTGGAATGTGAAGATGCTGTTTCTGTATCTGACGGCCGAGTACAAAACCAATGATCATGTAAGTAGTAATTGTAAATCTTCTTCTGCGTTTGCTCTTAAAAGGGCGGTTGACTCATTATGTTGTAGTTTACAGCTAGACTGTGATATCTGCACCTGCCGGCCCAAACCTTGTTTCAGACACAGTGAAGTTCTAAACCTATTCTTGAATTTAAAGAAAACAAAAATAATGTCCACAGGCAAAACTGGCTGTCATCCAAAAATAACAGTAAAAGATGACAAAAAATTGAAAACATCACAAACTTTGAATATCTAAGCTCTATAATAAACAGCAGTGGAGACTGTTTGACAAAAATCAAAAGAAGGATGGCTGTAGCAATGCAAAGATTAAAAAGCATTTAAAGTCTATGGTTAAGCACCAGCAAGGTAATTAGAACTAAAATTTTGAGAGTATGCATCTTCCCTGTAGCAACATACGGATGTGAGTCGTGGACTATCTCCCAGTCTTTAAAAAAATAGGGGCTTATGAGTTGAAATGCTATAGAAAGATTCTCAGAATACCAGGGACAAAGAAGAGAAGAAACACCGACATTTTAAAAGATCTCAACATAAAAAGAGATTGGCTGATAAACAGTATCTTGAATCAAAAGGTGAAATATTTTGGTTTTATCAAGCGTCATGACGGATTGGAAAATATGATAGCAGAAAGCATGATACCATGGTATCAGCCTTGCAGTTCTAAATCCTCAGACTCAAGACCTCTATATCCAGTACTGCCCTACTATCTCTTCTCTCCCTTCCCCCAGTTTCTGATTATCAGAATATACAGTCCTGATTACCAAAGTATGTGTTTCTGATTACTGGCGTAAATGCTTCTGTTACCAAATTATACATTTCTGATTACTAGAAACAGTCTAATTGTATGTCCGTCTTGCCACTTCCCTGAGTGTAGAGGGTCGGCCAGATCCCTTTGGCACTCCTTAGTGCACCATTCTCCTCAGATTGAAAGGCATTTTACACCTGCAAGATGGATTAAAAGGTATTTTACACCTTCAAGAAAGATTAAAAGGCATTTTAGACCTTGAAGAGGGATTAAAAGGTATCTTACACCTTCAAGAAAGATTAAAAGGCATATTAGACCTTGAAGAGGGATTAAAAGGCATTTTACGCCTTCAAGAGAGATTAAAAGGCATTTTACACCTTGAAGAGGGATTACAAGGTATTTTACACCTTGAAAGGGGATTAAAAGGTATTTTATACCTTGAAGAGGGATTAAAAGGTATTTTACACCTTGAAGAGTGATTAACACATATTTTACACCTTGGAGAGGGATCAAAAGATATTTTACACCTTGGAGAGGGATCAAAAGATATTTTACACCTTGAAAAGGGATAAAGGTATTTTACACCTTGAAGAGAGATTATATAGTGAATGGGGATTAATGAGGGCAGTTTACACATTGAAGTAGGTTTAACAAGGGTATTTTAAACTTTTGAAGAGGGATTTGCATCCATCATGCTTGATTTTAAGTGTTTTGTTTTATTCTTCTTTTTTCCTGCTAGGCACTTAACCAGGTAGTATTATGGGACAAAATTATCGAGAGAGGCGAGGAATCTCTGCTGGACTATCACAGCGCCAACACTAAGTACTATTTCTGGGACTACGGAAATGGGCTCAGGTAAAATAGCAGTAAACATTTTATTGGAGGAAAGGAATATTCCTGTCTGTGTATATTGGTTTTACCAGGTAAAGTCCTGGGAAGTAAAAGCGACTGGTGCACCAATGGCAGTTTGATGACTATACAAAATATGAGTCTAGCATGATATGCCAGATGCTCCAATGGCTCACTGTGTGGGTTCCGGGGCTCTGTTGTGGGCAAGAGGAGGGGGAAATGGACGCACTGTCCCGTAACAAGCATGTCGTAAGAGTCAACTAATTAGGGATGTTTCCTTCGGAGTCAGAGTGCATCTGCCTGAGAGGCGAGGAACCAACAGTCTGCATGCAAATAAACCAGATCTGTGTGTGCACCCAAAGCTCAGGTTCTGGAACAAGACTAAAGTCTAGAAGTGGATAAAGAACCAGAACTTTCCGCCAGAGTTTACAGCTGGTAAACACTAAGAAGAAGCTCAGCTGGCATAAAAATGGTGCTTGCTAACTGTTTCAGCTGTTGTGTATGCACTTCTGGTACTTTTCTTTCTTTTGATGTTTGAAGTATTAGTAAGCGTTAACTGTTAAACTTAGGACCAAGTTATGTATTTTCATTACTAATGTTATTTCAGTTTTAAAATTTGCTAGTGAAATTTGAACCACTAAAGACATAAAATGAAAGGTATATGCATTCGAAAACAAATACTGGAAAAATTGTTAAACATTTAATGAGATGAATGCAAGAAAGGTGAAGAAAGAAGAGAAATGTATGGAAAACAACGGTATTGACAGGAGTGTCCTGAGCCTGAGGATTTAGCCGTGCTTGGCTAGTGCTGTTGCCACGTACTGTGCAGGTTAGGATGTTTAATTTATAAGGCAGATAAGATGGCGATGTATTGGGCATATCTTGAAAAGCCAATAGAAGATCACCAAACAGGCGCTTAATTGGAAGCAGCTTGATTGAGGAAAAGAGGATGTCGATAAAAAACTCAAAGATGAATGTTGATAAAAGAGGCCAAAGATGCTGGCCTGGATACTTTCCATGATATAAAAATGGTTACACAGGATATAATTGAGTGGAAGAATAGACTGCGAGCCCTATGTGACATACAGTGGCGATGTATATTATTAGTTCTTGATTGTGTGTATGGTTATTACTCAGAAAGTAAATTTGTTTAAACATTTTTGTTGCCAGAGGTCATGAAAATGTCACCTTGACTTTATCCTGGAATGTCATTCCAAATGCTGGAACATTGCCGAAAGTCACCGGAGCTGGTAGTGAAAGGATTGTCTTCCCTGATCAATACACATCCGGACGATTCTAATCACGGCTCATGAGCTCTGCACAAAAATAGTTGACTGGGTTTATTCATCTGTCAGATGTTGTATTTGTAAATCACTCTGCGTTTTGTTTTTAATTTAAAACATTTTCTCGTTGTGAATTTTAACGAGGACACAAACAGTACATTGCATAAATTCTTCTTCTTTTGTCGTCATTCTACTGCCGGGTTTGAGTGATGAATTTGTTCAGATTTTTGTGGGATCCAGCTATGCCATCCATCCTTGAGTCTTCCTCTCGCCTTCCGCCCAGATGTTCTGCTATAGAAAATCTCATATACGGTTGGGTCTGGCTATATTCTTACTAGGTGACCAAACCATTTAATTCTCTGTCTTTCAGGCACAGTTGTCTTCCAAATTTCTTTCTAATGCTAGTATTTGTGATCCTGTTCTTCTTGTGTTGTAGGTGGCCTTTCGGAGACTGCATATTTCACAGGTATCTATCTTCTGTTCATTTATTCTCCCTTGAGAAGTAGCACATTTTATTGCCTGGTATATTCCGGTGTATCTTGTCAGGTGCTTTACTAAAGAGTTTATGTCATATCAGCGAATACTGAAACGCAAAACATGAATCCTTTCAACTTAAGTACACAAATCACAGTCGCTTTTTACATTGCACATCTCACCCCTGAAGATGAGCAGTCCCACATTGTGTAAACAAAAGGATCATATGGTTAGTCTTAAGACATCCATGGTGATATATCTATAATGTAGTACAGTGTGGTAGTAGACAGTATCATTTGTCTATTTCCATTGAAAAGATTTAAAATGTTATTGCCAATTCTATAGTTTGATACAATGACATATGCCAGGCAATCACTTGAGCAATATATTGTTTGTATCCTTTTTAAAAAAAAATTTAGATTTGTTATGTTCAGAATGGATTGATCCGAATGAATGTACCCATTTCAAATATTTTTAAAAAGTGAATCTTTGTTTTCTCTATGCTTGTTTAGCCTTTTACCTTTAATCACTTTTTTAATTAATCACCTCATTATACAAATCAAGAACGAAGTTAAGCATTGAGTTAATGGTATTTTTCTTTCATACTGTTATAAAGTCCATCAGCTGGTTGTATCCCTGTTGTAATCTTTCCTTGCTAACCGTCATCAGTTCCTTGATCTGTTGTTGAGATATACCACAGGCATTGCCAGATATTTTCCATTTTCTTTATCATTTCAGGCTTCCATGCTGAAATCTTAGAGCCTGTATTGCCACCATACTGGTGCCAATCATTGTTAACTGAAATAATAAGATGTTGTCGTCATTACCACTGGCTGTGTGTGTGTTGGGGGGAGAGAGGGGGTGTTATGGTAACAGTTGTATTGCCTCTATAATAATAAATAAAAAATGATAGTCTAGCTTTCAGAAATTGTTCTTTTATTCTGCTGCTTATGCCCTAAAACATGACATAGAGAAGTCTGATGTAGTTTCCTGTCTTTTGCTAGTTGTCTTTCTTCTTTTGGTAAAATCTGCTTATGCTGCTAGGGGTCGCAGTTCATCAGACAACCAGCTGCCGAGCCAGAGCGCAATCAGTCGCTTGATATGCCATGATATTATGCAGTCTCAAGGTGTCAGTGACTGCTTCAATCCTTATTCTTCTCGGTCTTCCCCTGCCTCTTGGTGTTTCGGTTTTCAGGTTGTTCTCTCTTGCTGCAAGCATCGTTGGTTTCATTCTCATTAGACGGCCAAACCATAAGTGTAGATTTAGCTAAGAATTAATGTGTCAGAGGAAGAGTGTGGCATGTGTAAAACCAATGTGCTAGTGACTCTTTTACTGATTTAAGAATGAAGTTGTAGATCCCATGTGCTAGTAATTGTTTGACTGATTTAAGAACGAAGTTGTAGATCCAGTGTGCTAGTCATTGTTTTATTGATTGAAGAATGAAGTTGTAGATTCAGTATGCTCCTGAGACACACATTTTCTGCAGGAGACAGAGTATCTGTCAGTGTAGATGCCTCGTATACTGTGGTGTTGATTGTTCTTGTTTGATCGGCTGCCTCTTGCTTTAGTCTTTTCTTGTTTACCGTATAATTGGACATTGTTCATTGGTGGCTGGGATTTTGCATTTGAAAAGTTTTGTTTTGTTTTTTTGGCCACATTTTCTTTCTGTTATCATTTGCTTGAAGTCAAAATAATTAAAGATATTTCCTTGATTCAAGTTATTGTCATGATGTTATTTCTTGGTGTAAAATTGTATGTGTTGTTGCGGACTCTCTCTCTCTCTTTTTTTTTTTTTCTTCTTCTTCTTAGTGTTCACCCGTTAAAAACTCCAACAGAAAGTTTTGGTTGTTCGTCTACTTCTGGACTTCAATCTTGCTCCAAAATGTGAGTTTTCATTATATCGATCTGGCTTCTTTGTGTGCAGACTGCTGGTTCCTCGCCTCTGAAGCATATGCACCCCAACTTTGGAGGAGAGACTTTTACGACATTCTTGTTGAGGGGGTGAGTGGAGTGGGTCTGTTCTGTTGTATTTTTTTTCTCAACAAAAATGAAGGGAGGAGCCTGAAACCCACATCAGTAGCAGAATATCCAATTTGTAAGACATGATGGATAATTATAACAAAGTCAAAATGAAGCTTTTTGTTTGAATAGCGAGTTTGGGAAACCCATCCTGAGAGGGAAGATAGACCTGCTGCCCCTCAACAGGATTGTGTAAATGGTGATCAATTAAGGGATTGCTGCAACTGGTGTGTTGGGCCGAAAGGAGCTGATACTGCAGCCTAGCTGTAAACCACAAACCACAATACAATTTGCCAATTGTCGGGTATCTTAAAGCACAACAGTATAATGACTGCACGGTGATTTTGGTCACAAGCGTGAGCAAAAGTTAAGGCCCCTGTGATGTGTATAAGGAAATACTCTGTATCTCAGCTCGGTCACCAGCCTTCTCTGTGCTGGTTTTATGGATTCTCATGCAAGACTCCTGCTACACGTCCACATCGTGCGCCACGGATAAAGGCTCACTTTTGTGATCTGAACCGAGCTGGCAGGGGAACTTGGAGTTGGTGGCCCCAGAGATGTAGTGTCCCGTCTGGCTATCATCAGCCCACCTCAATGCATGTGTGAAAAAGTCTGCCTAAACTAATGTGGAACATGAGTAATATGCGCTAGCCAAATATTTCAACAAATAAAAACTCAGTCAAAACGACGGTCAAGCAAAAAACTGCCGACACTCGGTCCTAGATCAAGAAATTTGCTTGCAGCTTTGACAAGCAACATCTGTGAGCTGCTTTTCGCGGTACGGTCCTATCTCCGAACATCCTTTGTCGACCCTCAACGTTATCGTCACCGCCTTGAGGCGTATACCATGACAATCTGCCACTGTCAGTCTGCTGATTATGCCCACATGTCCGTCAGATACGTGTCCGATGGCATAAGACTGACTGACTTTCTACCCCACCAGGACATCACACAAGCGATAAACACCCGATGACACAAAGTGCCACCATGTGGATGAGGATCGCCGTGGAGAGGTCCCAGAAACCGCGTTCAGACAATTGGCCATATTTATGGCCTGCCTATATTGCGGCCCCTGGCAAAAGCCAGGGTGAGGCTTGAGATAACAAAAAATTTCGTCCTAAAAAGGACAAAACACCTATTACTGAGCATAGATGGCATAAGAGCAAAGTCTTACATTTTCTACCCCCAAACGTCCCACTGGTTGGCAGTAACGTTCAAATATCAATTACCATTGGCTCCCACTTGCTAGAGAGCTGTGACCAAAGAGGGTGATGCATGCATTTCCATACTCCTTCTTTGTGTTCACCAGATGTAAACTCTGGCGGAAAGTTCTGGTTGTTCCTTCACTTCTGGACTGCAGTCCTGTTCCAGAATCTGAGTGTTGCGTGTGCATCCGTTTTACAGATCTGACTCAGTTGTATGCAGACTGCTAGTTCCTTGCCTCTCAGGCAGATGCACTCCAACTTTGAAGGAAGCTCCCAATTAGTCGACTCTTACATGCTTTTTGGTAGGCAGTGGGTCTATTCTTGTTTTCCCTATAACAGAGCCCCAGAATCCACACGGGGACTTTTCCATACTGTCGTGCTAAGTGTTCAGATGAAACAGCGTTAAAAGTGCCTAATGTGCTGAAAAAGGATGTGCCTATTTGGGTGTTCATCGCCCAGACCTGCGGGGTGATCTCTGCTGATCTCTTGAGGGTTCAGCCCATGACGAGTGGGACACTCCACATACAGATGTGAGGTCAAGCAGTCCTTGGGTGAGCCCAGGACCAGAGCATCATGTGTCAGCTCTGAATTTATGGAAAGCTCCTTAGACGGCAGGAAATGCCCACGATCTGCTCTTGGTGGTTGACCGCTCTACATGCGGTTGCCGCGAATGGGTTCTTCAGGGGCAACATCTGTAGATAAGGGGACAAAGAGAACAAACGAATGAGGCTACGTCAGGTCGAAACTACCTGGGAAGTTAACCAGGTCAACAAATGCTCGATGATGTCGGCCGAAAAGCCCAAATATCACGGCTATGCTGTAAACAGGCAGAAAAGCAATTACGTCATTGGAACGAACGAAAAGTAGAAGTATGATGAATGTAAAACATACTATGATACTAATTTTACCAACAAAACCCAACAGTTCAGTTTGTCTCCCTCAAAACTGGTGCAAATATATGACCTTTATACCGGAAATATGTCGAATAACATCATCATCACTAAGTGCCTTTGCCGACCAGCATGGACGATCATGCCTCCCCACAATCTGTGGTCTTCAACATCATGTGTCAGTTTGTGTACCGACATCACTTCATGCCAGGTCAAAAGGCTGGCAAGAATCTTCTTGCATTGTCTTCCCCAGTCTCTATTTCCTCAGACCTTTCCAGCGTCACAATATGTTCCAGTTTCCTTCTTCATACAACATGACCACAAATGAAGAGCGTCTCTTTCTGTTGTTTATGATAAGTTGTCTTCAAGCCCTCACCTCTTTCAAAACATCTGGGTTGCTCTTTTTGGCTGTGCAAGGAATTCTAAGAATTCTTCTGTAAAACTGCACCTTCGAGGCCTCAAGAAATTGTCTGGCTTGTTTATTAATTATCCAGAATTCAAAGTCATCTGTTCAAACAGTATCTTTGAAGCATGCAAGAACTCTTTTCAAAAAACCTATACAAATTAACAGAAGCACTGAATCCAAATAAGTAGTTAATCAAAGTTGACGAAATGGTATAGTAATTAACCTTTTTACCCAGAGAATTTCCCATAAATGTCAGTTTTCTGACTTGTCTATAGTGACCTCTTTCTGTTTTCTAGCCTGCCCAAATGTTTAAGTCATGATATGACTGCATTAATTTTTTTTTAAAAATTGTAATTGCGTGTTAGGGGGTTTTCGGGGGAGCCAAATATTATTATTTAAAGCTAAGTTGACGTCAAATTTTCCCATAGCCTCAGTGATAGAGGTTATGGTGTCAAGGCATAAGTCACCCAAAAGAAGTAATCACAAATACAAACGGAGCAAAGAAATAAATCGTTTCCTTCCCCTTTGAAAAGTAAAATAGTGATTTGTTTGAAATAGCCATGCAGGGCAAAGTGGCATCAAAAGTTTATTAAGACATCACAAGGCAGTTGCAACCAGTGCCAAAGCTGCTGATGTGTACTGGCCAACGACTTCATGTCATCAAAAACACGTAAAAATTAGAAAACCAGCTTTCTCTGGGCGATAGAGTTAAAACATAGCAATCAATAAATAAATCAGGTGCCATCTCCATAGATAGGGTTGGCTGCAATGGATCTCCAACACTCTCTGTCTCTTGTCTTGATTGTACTCACAGACGGCTGATTATCCATCTCCTGATACTGTCCTCCTACTTGTATCACTGCCTCTTGCTCTCTGGCAGTCAACTTTTTCCTCCAATATGATTATCATGAGTGAGTTGTCAAGTAAGAACTGACAATAGAGCACTTGAGACATTCCCATAAGCACACTGTCTTTAGCAGTAAGCTCAGAATTCCAATTCCGATGGTACCAGTAACCGTCTAATTATATGTCTGTCCTCCCCCTCTGAGCGTTGGGTCCCAAAGGACTCTTTCAACATCTAGTTTGTCATGCATTAATTTACCACTCAGTGATGCAGGACCAGCCAGTCTATCCCCCTGTTCATTTTCCAACATACTGGCACCCTGGAGAAAATATCTAAAGGATGCTAACTACCCGGGATCTCTGAAGCAATGCTTGCCACTCTGCGTGGAGCATGCCTCTCTCCACCTTTCTCAACATGCACTGTGAGTCAGTTACAATTATGACATGCGTGCAGCTGGCTCCCAGATCAGCGGAAGGCTGCAGTGACTGCCTCCAGCTCTATTCTCAAATAAGATGTTGTCCTATCATATACCAGGCTTTCTTGCAGTAAGCGACATCCACTCACTATGAACCACCCCAAGCACATCTATCTCTCAACAATAAAATTGTTTAAAGTGTTACGTCTTTTAATGTGACCGAAACCACAACATGACTGCCTTTTTAAAGGTAAACACAAAAGAAAAAGAAACACAATGTTTAATGAAGCATAAAAGACATGATTTCAATCATATTCACATGTGCTTTGAACTGTATTTCGACAAACAACTTCTACAATACTGTAACAAACACAGCCCAGAAAAGGTTTCAAAGTCAAGAGAACTGATTTCTCCCCATACAGGTTTCCTGTCCCCTGATCACTGAGTTAATGTATGTGTCGATTCTTCCCTAGCAAAAAGATGAGATGCTGTTTGCTAGCCAATCTTAAAGATGAGATGCTGTTTGCTAGCCAATCTTCCTTGATGTTCAGATCTTTTCAGATGTCAATATTTCTTCTTTGTCCATGATATTTTGAGAACCTTTCTGTCGCATTTCAGCTCAAAATGATTGTGAGATAGTCCACGACTCAGATCCAAGGAAGATGCATGCTCTCAAAATTCTGATTCTGATTTCCTTGCTGGTGCTTAACTCTTTGAGTCCCAAGGAACGCATCATACGTTCATAGATTCCTACCTGGAAGCCCAATGAACGCAAGATGCGCCGATTTTATGAGTTTCTTGACTAACCCTTGAGCCTGTGATGCTAAAACCCCTGGGACTCAAAGAGCAAGCCAGAGAGAGAGAGACAGATCATTACACACAGCACAAACTATATAGCTCCAGCGATGACCCCCAGCAATCTGTAAAAACAGCACTCTTGAACTGAGTTCGCAGTCCACAAAACAAACCCATTACCTTTACAGCACAAGGCAAACTGCACAACCACTTAGCATTAAGACAAAGAAAGCAACCAACCACTGCATGCTGCCTAATGTCTCTGAAAAGGAAGGACATTTGTGAATTCCAATTGAAACAAAAAGTCAACCAAGCTGAACCTGCTGGAGGAAGTTCTTAATTAGTAAACTCTTATGACATGCTTTTTTGGGTAGGCAGTGGGTCTATTCTTGTTTTCTCCAAAATGGGGCCCCAGAACCCACACGGCGAATTATGTTCTTGTTTTGCCTGTATCCCTTGTTAGCTGTGCCTCCTTTTTGGTTGCGATGTGTTTTTAATTTCATGAAATTCATTAACATGCAAACTGTATGATATAATCACTCACACATGCCAAATGTCTATGTAATTATACCTGTATATATCTACAATTAGGAGCGACTGACCGAGTAATTACAACATCAAGCTCTCATGCAGGAGACCTAGGTTCAGTTCTGGGTAAGCTGACAGAATCTTTTTTCTAATTCTGGGCATCTGCTTGGAGTCAACATAAAAAGATAAATTATGACTTAGTGGTTGTAAGAGTAGTTTCATAATTACAGGATTCCAGGTTTCATTTAGCTATAGGCAATTGGCAGCAAACCATTATACCTTAATTTCAGTAACAATATGAGTGGTAGTGGCTCGGAGAGCAATGGGTTTTGTAAGACCAGAACTAGTTAACAAATGCTAGGGTTGAGTTGTGGTCCGGTAAAGAACATGCATCAAACAACAAAAGAAGAGGGGGAATACTTTCAGTCAAGCACAGTCAACAATAATGTGGCAGCGTAAAAATACCTGTACACTGTAAATAAAATAATTTACATTATATTTTAAGGTCTGAGAGCCGCTGTGGTGTGGTAACTAGACACTTGCCTGTGAATCTAAAGGTCATGAGTTATAATCTGAACAGAGCCAGACTTGTTTAAAAATTACATTGGCTCCCAGGTTGACCTGGCTTTGAATGGATATCAGGTAAAGTTCTGGGAAGTAAAGATGGCTGGCGTGATACAGACCATACCTCTCCAAATGCTGAATGGTCTATAAAACATAGGCTTAGCACTATATACCCAATAAGCCTAAAGGTGTGGAAACTGGCACATTTTTTTTAGTTCTGTTCTACTTAAAAAGCAATGGCAAACTACTGGACATAAATTTGCCAAGAAAAACCACAACAGCCAAACAATACTGGATTGGTCCTGCAGTGTCCTGTAAGGGATACTCAACAATCTTTTAACTACACAAAATCTCACCCAAACTTCGTGTGCCGCACATATTTCGAACTGAAGTTCACTACATCAGCTGCTCTGGATTTCATCTGCATTTCTTAAATCCTTCCTTCCGTGTGTGGGTTCCAGGACTCAAATTGGGTGTGGGGGGGGGGGGGGTGCTAACAGATCTACTGCCCCTTAACACGTTGTTGAAAAGGCAATTAGGAGTTTGCTAAAATGGGTTGTGCTGGGCCAAAAGGCACAGATATTGCAGCCTAGCTGTAAACCACATCCTGCCAACTGCCTTTTTTAAGATGAAGATAGATGAAGTTTCTGAATCCATTAAATTGAAGTCTGTAAAACCATATATTCTTGCATGCAAACATACAGTTACCATCTCTACACACAAACCCAGAGATTAAAAATGCATTTAAATGTACATCACATCACTGAATTTATTTTTTTAAAAGAACATGTTAATGTGCTATCATCTGCTCACACGAAAGCTGTGAGACGTGCCAACATCTTGTCACACACAAACCATGACGTGCCAACATCTGGCCACACGCAAACTATGTCATGCTCCCACAGACAGTCCGGTATAGAAATCTATGCTATGTATTAAAAAATGTTGCTGAGAACAAACTGTGCAGGCATCAGTATCAAGGTAAACAGGACAGTGGCTGGTTACTCCCGAGACTGATAAAACAGTATGTAGCCTGATTCTGAAGAGTTCTTCTGCATGTCTGATGGCACTCCGTAAAATTCCTCGATCTGGCTTGCATCAATTTTCTAGAAAATGATAGAGACAGACAAAATATTAAATCAATTTTCTACAAAATGATAGAGACAGACAAAATATTAAATCAATTTTCTAGAAAATGATAGAGACAGACAAAATATTAAATCAATTTTCTAGAAAATGATAGAGACAGACAAAATATTAAATCAATTTTCTACAAAATGATAGAGACAGACAAAATATTAAATCAATTTTCTACAAAATGATAGAGACAGACAAAATATTAAATCAATTTTCTAGAAAATGATAGAGACAGACAAAATATTAAATCAATTTTCTACAAAATGACAGAAAGAGAAAAAAAATATTAAATTAGTTTTCTACAGGATGCCAGAAAAATATGACATCAATATCCTACAAAATGGCAGACAAAGTATGACATCAGTTTTCTACAAGATGGCAGACAAAGTATGACATCAGTTTTCTACAAGATGATAGAGGCAGACAAAATACGACATAAATTTTCTAAAGACGACAGATAAATCATGATGTTAATTTTCTACAAGATGACAGGGATAGAATGACATCAATTTTCTGCAAGATAACAGACAAAATATGACATCAGTTTTCTACAAGATGATAGAGGCAGATAAAATGTGACACCAGCTGTCTAAAAGATGACAGGCAAATTAAAAAAATCTGTCCACAACAAATCAATTATTTTTTTTCTTTTCGTTCATCACAGTTACATAGTTGCATTCTCTTCCTATTCACATTCTTCACCTTTCTTAGCAAGTTTATCTGCGGTTTCCTTTCCTGGTATACCACACTGGGATGGCACCCACTGGAGTACAGTAACTTTTAGGCAGCCACCTTGCCAAGTTCAGATCTCAGTTGAGGGAGTTTACTGCTCTTGATTCAATACACTCTGACATGACACTTACATCTATAGTGCACTCACAGCTACAATATTACACTTACATCTACAGTACACTAATACTGACATGACATTTACATCTATAGTGCACTCACAGTTTCAATACACTCATACCTACAAAACTCACAAATCTAGAATATACTTACATCTATAGTGCACTCACAGCTTCAATACACTCATACCTACAAAACACACAAATTTAGAATATACTTACATCTATAGTGCACTCACCGCTTCAATACACTCATACCTACAAAACTCACAAATCTAGAATATACTTACATCTATAGTGCACACACAGCTTCAATACACTCCTACCTACAAAACACACAAATCTAAAATATACTTACATCTATAGTGCACACACAGCTTCAATACACTCATACCTACAAAACACACAAATCTAGAATATACTTACATCTATAGTGCACTCACAGCTTCAATACACTCATACCTACAAAACACACAAATCTAGAATATACTTACATCTATAGTGCACTCACAGCTTCAATACACTCATACCTACAAAACTCACAAATCTAGAATATACTTGCATCTATAGTGCACTCACAGCTTCAATACACTTACACCTACAAAACACACAAATCTAGAATATACTTACATCTACGATATCATCATCAAACAGCAACCAGAACCCATGACTTTTCACGATGCTTATATAATGACCTCTGTTTGGTCCGGACCCACAATGCACTACCACAGCCACAAGGTCATAGAGACGCTCGGGATTAAAGGCATCATCAGACTGTAATCATAAATGTTATCACATGATAAATGTGTGGATTTGAAGAATCAATACTGGATATCAATGTGGATGCACCTCATTACAGTATACATTTGTGCAGAAGAGGCAAAATCAGACTGAGTAGATACATTTAATAAGAATTTAAATGTTGTAGATAAAAGGCATCATCAGACTGAGTGTATATATGTCCCAAGCCAGAAAGGTCGAAGAGTAGAGAACAGACGAGGAGAGACACGCTGGTCCTCCAGGCTGGGGGGGGGCTAAAGCGTGGGGTCAACACTCCCACCTTCGCAAAAGTTTATCTCGTCACGAAACAGATATCTAAGCCTCAATTTCAACAGATTTAAACAGACAACGAACCTGGAACATTAAAGGACTTTTAAGATTTCGAACAGGACCATTGCTGCCATTACAAATACTGGACAGCTTTCTTCTCGGACGCTCGGCTCTTACCCTATCTGCAACTTGTTTCTCCTCTGTCCCCTTGTTAATTACCCCCTCCACTCTGTTTGCAGTGAGATCCAGGGCTGTTTACATGAATCCACTCAAATACAGTGTATTACATTATAATTACATTTACAATACAAATATGTATAATGTTGAATTAAGAATATACATCACAGCACAGATATATAATATGTATAATCAGATTATGTAACATAAATTTCCCACAAACGAAAACACCAAAGCCTTTGCTTTCCTACGAGGAGGTTGGGTTCAAATCCACACCAGGTAGATTTTTTAAAAGATGACCTTGGCTCCTAGGTCAAGCAAGCTCAGAAAAGAAATGTCCCTGAATGAATGAACCAACCAATCCCAGAATTGACTTATTGAAACATATTTTTGTTTAAACCGACTCCTCTAACAAAAGTTTTGTTAGAGGAGTCGGTTTAAACAAAACTTATGCACACAGACTCAGTCTTACCGTGTTAAAAAGGCGAAGCTCAAGAGGAAACACAACTCTGTATGAGACTTTGATATACCGATTTAGGTGCTCCATGTACTTGAACCGTTTGAGGTGAAGGGCAAGGATCTGAGGCAGCTTCTTCACACGCATGCTGGAATGTGACATACAAGGTCAGTTTCTTCAGGGACAAGACAGATTTTCACACTCATACTGAAATGTGCCATATCTTGTTTAAAGCAAGGCTGTGACATTTGCACCGCTCGGCCAAATTTCTGCAGGCATTTGCTGTGTGGGTTAGCCTTCCCGGGACATTTGCCATATGAGATTACTACCCATGTGGGTTCTGGTGCCCTATGTGGTTCTGGTGCCCTATGTGAGTTCTGGTGCCCCATGTGAGTTCTGGTGCCCCGTGTGGGTTCTGGTGCCCCGTGTGGGTTCTGGTGCCCCATGTGGGTTTTGGGGCCCCGTGTGGGTTCTGGTGCCCCATGTGAGTTCTGGTGCCCCATGTGGGTTCTGGTGCCCCATGTGGGTTCTGGTGCCCCATGTGGGTTCTGGTGCCCCATGTGGGTTCTGGTGCCCCATGTGGGTTCTGGAGCCCCATGTGGCCCCGTGTGGGTTTTTGGTGCCCCATGTGGGTTCTGGTGCCCCATGTGGGTTCTGGTGCCCCTTGTGGGTTTTTGGTGCCCCATGTGAGTTCTGGTGCCCCATGTGGGTTACGGTGACCCATCTGGGGGAGGGGAGAACAACAGACCCACTGTTCCCTAACAAGCATGTTTTAAAAGGTGACTACCTAATGACTAGCTGAAACTAGATGTTCCAGCAAACAGGCTCAAAGCCTAGCTGTAAACCACCACACAACGTGCCAATTGCACTTTTCAGGGCAAATGAAGAAGATTAGCAACTCCCAGAACCCAAAAAGTGGGTTTATCACACTCAAAGTGAGATGTGAGCATCAAGGCCAGTCTCTCCCAGAACAAGTCAGTTTTCTTATTGCCAGTTTCTTCACTTAACTGCTTGTTACCCTTTGTATAATTCTTGCTTACTGCAACATACTTACAGACACAAATGTAGACTCACAAACACACAACAGCAGCTAGAAGTCCCGCCTTGAAACTACTATGGCTGAAAGTCAATAAAAGAGCCGACACATTGGCCGTGCCTGCAAGTGGCTGGTGGAGGAATATGTATAGACACAGCAGAAATACTGAATGCACTGCATTCCATAGACACTGAGATAAAGGAGTCAGCGATGATGAACCACCTGTTCGAAGTGGGTATTCTTCTTCTTTGCGTTTACCAGCTGTAAACTCTGGAGGAAAGTTTTGGTTGTTCGTCCACTTTTGGAGTGTAGTCCTGTTCCAGGACCTAAGTGTTGCGTACATATCCATTTTACATATATGACTCATCTGTATGCAAACTGTTGGTTGCGTGCCTCTCAGTCAGATGCACTCAGACTTGGAAGGATGCACCCAATCAGTTGACTCTTACGACATGCTTTTCTTTAGTCAGTGGGTCTATTGTTTTCCCTACAGCAGGGCCCCGGAACCCACAAGGAAATGGGTATTAAACGAGGAGAAACATACAGAAACCGGCTTTGGAGCAAGGAAAGAAGATATACCAACCAATGTTGAGCACAGAGATGGCTGCTGCATCAGAGGACTGGGCATGGATTGGTTGCACTGATATGCTAGGATGCCAATATGGATAACAAGTAACAATATGGATAACATGTAACAAGTAAAGGAACAGTTTATTGTTGTTTCTGTGCTTCTTGCTTGCGACAATGTATTTACACACACAGCTTTTACGCAAAGAAATGTTTATGCCCACATAGCTGTTGACACATAAACACCTGTTTATCTGAGAGATAGAGAGAGAGAGAGATAGAGAGAGAGAGAGAGAGAGAGAGAGAGAGAGAGAGAGAGAGAGAGAGAGAGAGAGAGAGAGAGAGAGGGGGGAGACACAACAGTTTATTTATTACCGTTTCTGTGCCTCTTGCTTGCTACAACATACTTCACAGTAATATTTATGCTCGGAACACAAGGTTTCTGTGTTGCTGAAGCCTCGAAGGCAGTGTGTTATAGAAGTGTTTTGCTCTACTTCTACGCTCAAATCTAGAAAATCCTCATCTTTACTGCTCACCTGAGAATTTAAAATGTGAAACTCATGAAGAAGGTCTGTGAAACAATACATCCCTTTAAAAGTAACATTATCACAAACAGTAGACAACTCAAAACATTGTTCTTTTTCTTCTCAGAGTTCATCGGCTGTAAAACTTCAATAGAGTTCTGCACGTTTGTCCACTTCCAGATTTTAGTTTTGTTCCAGAACCTGAGTTCTGCATGCACAGATCAGAATTATTTGTATGCAGACTCTTGGTTCCTTGTCTGTCTTATCAGATGTACTGAAACTACACAGATATAGCTGATAGTTATGCAGACTTTTGGTTACTCGCATCGCAGTCAGATGCACTCTGATGCTGAAAGAAACACCAATAATCAGTCTTCTTCTTCTTCTTCTGAAAGAGCTATAAACACAAACTATTAGCAAAAGTGCTATAATATCTTCTTCTTCTTCTTGTTCACCGGCTGTGAATTCCGGCGGTAAGTCACGGTTGTTCGTCCAAATGGACTTTTGACTTTTACCTCGACCTGAGTTTTGCGTGAACATCCGTTTTACTGTCTTATTTGTTTGCAGTCCTCGTTCCCTGCCTCACCGGCAGATGTACTACGACTTCGAGGGAGCTATAATATTAACAGCACTTCAACAGTACCATGTGATTCCCATAAATAACCAGACCTGTGCTCCATGTGTCACGTACGACACTCGCACTTTACCGGAAATTACCAGACAAGTTTGTTGTGAAAATAGGTCGAACTGCCACAAACAGGCCCAACAGCCATTACTCACATGCCCACTGTTGTCAAGTCTATGTGTCAATATCTGTCCTATACAGCGTAAATTTTACGTATTTATTGCTAATTCCAACGTCTACCCATTTCGGTTGAAAACAACACCCAGGCATGATTTAATTGTAAAACATAGTATTAAACACACAATGAACTCTTGCTCCACGCTGACTGTACCCAGCAAAGCAAACAATTAGATAACTAATTGTAGATTGCTTGCCGCGTACAGCTCATCAGAAATTACCATACACATTCAACAAGATGGTAGACAAGAATCAACAGCCCACGCAAAGTTTACTGGAAATAACCTTTAACATTTTTTTAATGGTAACTGCAAATAACCCAACTGTCGAAAATAACACAAAATTCTCTTTCTCTCTTTTTTTTTTTCTTCGGAAATTGAACTCCAGGTTACAGCGGGTAAAGTTTAAGGATGTTAGCAGCTCATCATAAAATTCCCGGGGTTTCCCAGGCCTTAAGAGTTGTAAGTGTCCTTTCGCTATTTCTTCAGGAGGAGAAGAAGAAAAGTAAAAGAAAAAGAAGAAGCAACCTACAGTTTCACAGGTGAGGCATCTGGTCTCATTAGTCAGCGTCCCTTGGAAAATCTCATGCACCCAGGTGGGCTCTGGTTTAGCGTTGGCATTGTTTTCTGCTGGCTTCTGGGTGCCCTTTTTCTCCGCTGAAATGTCAGATATTAATTATAAATTCACATATAAATCCTGAAGAATTTCTCAAGTAATAATATTTATTTTTAAGCAGGAAACTTGAATATTCTTCTTCTTCTTCTTCTTTATGTTCACTGGCCATACGCTCCAGGGAAAATGGTGGTTCATCCACTTTGGGACTTGGGTCTCCCCATGTAGGTTCTGGGTCTCATTTGGGGGGAGGGGGGTGAGAGGGGGGGGGGAATAGACTCACTGCCCCCTTAACAAGCATGCTGTAAAAGCTGACCAATTAGACATGTATCCTTTGAAGTTGAAGTGCATCTACATGAGAAGCAAGGAACCAGAAGTCTGCATACAAAGAAGCTAGATCTGTAAAACAGATGTGCACGCAAAACTCAAGTTCTGGGATAATACCAAAGTCAAGAAGTGGACAAACAACCATAATTTTGCGCCAAAGTTTACAGCCAGCAATGAGCGCTAAGAAGAAGAAGAAGAAGAAGAAGGACTTGGGTCTTGTTCCAGGACTTTAGCGTACATATCCGTTTTACAGATCAGACTTGCAAGTGTGTGTACGCTGCTGTGTCCTCACCTCTCAGGCAGATTAACTCTGACTTCAAAGGAGATACCCCTAATTTGTCAACTTTTAAAACATGCTTGTGGGGGGGGGGGGAAAGCACTGGTCTTCTCATTTCCCCTCCCACCCCCACAGACCTTATACTTTTTATCAGTCAGCTGAGTAACTTTTAATTTTCCAATACTAAAATCACCACATATAAAAAAAAAAAACACGATTGCATTCTTCTTTATCGTTCCTCCAAGTGACGCAACTACAACATTCCTGTTTAAAGCATAGCTGTGTTATTTGTGCCTTTCGTCCACAACTGACTTCTTCAGGAATTTGTTATCTGGGTTAGCCTTCTTAGTTAGTTTCATGGGATATATGAAGCCACATTTGTGGGGTGACAGTCAAAAACCTCTGATCCAGAGGTTTTTTTCCCAAGGAAAACTCATCCATGGCAGCCACATGCAGATCCGTCGACCCTAAGGGGAATACAGCAGCAGAGCATGGGCATTCCCCACCATCCCAGGAGGTTTCCATAGTGCAGAGCTGATACACAGCACTCCGGTACTGGGCTCAACAAAGGAGGTTACCATAGTGCAGAGCTGATACACAGCACTCCAGTACTGGGCTCAACAAAGGAGGTTACCATAGTGCAGAGCTGATACACAGTACTCCAGTACTGGGCTCACCAAAGGAGGTGTCCATAGTGCAGAGCTGATACACAGCACTCCAGTACTGGGCTCACCAAAGAAGGTGTCCATAGTGCAGAGCTGATACACAGTACTCCAGTACTGGGCTCAACAAAGGAGGTTTCCATAGTGCAGAGCTGATACACAGTACTCCAGTACTGGGCTCAACAAAGGAGGTTTCCATAGTGCAGGGCTGATACACAGCACTCTGGTACTGGGCTCACCAAAGGAGGTGGCTACAGTTCAGCACTAATACACAGTATTCCAGTACTGGGCTCAACAAAGGTTTCCACAGTGCAGAGCTGATATACAGCACTCTGGTACTGGGCTTACCAAAGAAGGTGCCCACAGTTCACAGCATATACACAGCACCCCAGTACTAGGGCCCCCCAAGGAATCATCACATCCTGCACATGATCGTTTAACCTCACACGGAATGCGTTTTAAAGTTCAGAGGCTTTAGTAAATGACAAAAGGGACCCCTTAAATTCGTTCCATGGATTCAAGAGGGGAGCGGGGGTCCGTGGAGTACCAAATGGGAAGACCATTATACAGTAACATAAATCTGGGAGCCTCACCTGTGAGTAAGTCAGCCACGGTGTTGAGCAAGTAGTTGAGAAACTCATGGGCGTCCTGCTGCATGTAATTGTCGAACACCTCTGTAACAGAAGTATCAACATGTCAGACAATACTTCAGTACACAGTGACACAATCTTTGTACCCCACAATATCTGCTGGCACCTGGCTACCAATCTTTCCAGAAGTTCCATTATACTATGGGGGAAAGGAAAAAGAAAAAGGGGGAAAAGAGGAGGGGGGGTTGTGAAGTTCCTCTTCTCCAAATCATTTGGTAGAGACTGTGATGCAGCATGATCCCTCTTTCTACCTGCCTTTTTTTAAAACTCTAAATGAAAGGTAAGACTAACAATTTTTTTTTTAACAAAACATCCTGCGAAAGCTGCTGAATCTGAAAAGCACTGCTCTGTACGCCTGTCAGAGCACCCCTCTTAAACCAACTGCCAGCCAAGACTGAGGGCCTAGTATGCCCTGCCATAACATGAAGTTTTCAGATTGCACTTTCACGTCCTAGGAAGAGACTTGCATCCTTCCCAATGTGCTCTTCAGCCTGAAGCCGTTGGCACAAGCTGGATGTCAGGTTTTGTGCATGCCATCCGATACCTGTCATTAACAGAGAACAGGTAGTACTGACTACTGTTACATAGCAGCTCAGTCAGATCTGACCACGACCTAATACAATAACACTACAATACACACAGACAGTTTCTCTGTATTACAACATTAGCACAACATTTAAAACACTTTCTCTGTATCACAACAGTACTAGAATATTTAGAGACACTTTCTCAGTAACTTTACAGTACTGGAAAACAAAGTGACACCTTTTCTTCAACATAATAATACTTGAATATACAGAGACATTCACTCTGCATTCCAAAACATAAACTACTTTAATACTCACAGACACTTTATCTGTATCACAGAAAAACTAGAATACATAGGGACACTTTCTTTATATCACAACAGTGCTAGAATACTTAGAGACATTTTATCAAAGCAGTATCAGAAAACACAAAGACACTTTCTCTGTGTGACATCAATATTATAATATATACAGACACTTTCTCTGTGTGACATCAATATTATAATATATACAGACACTTTCTCTGTATGACATCAATATTATAATATATACAGACACTTTCTCTGTATGACATCAATATTATAATATATACAGACACTTTCTCTGTGTGACATCAATATTATAATATATACAGACACTTTCTCTGTATGACATCAATATTATAATATATACAGACACTTTCTCTGTATGACATCAATATTATAATATATACAGACACTTTCTCTGTGTGACATCAATATTATAATATATACAGACACTTTTCTCTGTATGACATCAATATTATAATATATACAGACACTTTCTCTGTATGACATCAATATTATAATATATACAGACACTTTCTCTGTATGACATCAATATTATAATATATACAGACACTTTCTCTGTATGACATCAATATTATAATATATACAGACACTTTCTCTGTATGACATCAATATTATAATATATACAGACACTTTCTCTGTATGACATCAATATTATAATATATACAGACACTTTCTCTGTGTGACATCAATATTATAATATATACAGACACTTTCTCTGTGTGACATCAATATTATAATATATACAGACACTTTCTCTGTATGACATCAATATTATAATATATACAGACACTTTCTCTGTATGACATCAATATTATATATATATACAGACACTTTCTCTGTATGACATCAATATTATAATATATACAGACACTTTCTCTGTATGACATCAATATTATAATATATACAGACACTTTCTCTGTATGACATCAATATTATAATATATACAGACACTTTCTCTGTATGACATCAATATTATAATATATACAGACACTTTCTCTGTGTGACATCAATATTATAATATATACAGACACTTTCTCTGTATGACATCAATATTATAATATATACAGACACTTTCTCTGTATGACATCAATATTATAATATATACAGACACTTTCTCTGTATGACATCAATATTATAATATATACAGACACTTTCTCTGTATGACATCAATATTATAATATTTACAGACACTTTCTCTGTATGACATCAATATTATAATATATACAGACACTTTCTCTGTATGACATCAATATTATAATATATACAGACACTTTCTCTGTATGACATCAATATTATAATATATACAGACACTTTCTCTGTATGACATTAATATTATAATATATACAGACACTTTTCTCTGTATGACATCAATATTATAATATATACAGACACTTTCTCTGTATGACATCAATATTATAATATATACAGACACTTTCTCTGTATGACATCAATATTATAATATTTACAGACACTTTCTCTGTATGACATCAATATTATAATATATACAGACACTTTCTCTGTATGACATCAATATTATAATATATACAGACACTTTCTCTGTATGACATCAATATTATAATATATACAGACACTTTCTCTGTATGACATCAATATTATAATATATACAGACACTTTCTCTGTATGACATCAATATTATAATATATACAGACACTTTCTCTGTATGACATCAATATTATAATATATACAGACACTTTCTCTGTATGACATCAATATTATAATATATACAGACACTTTCTCTGTATGACATCAATATTATAATATATACAGACACTTTCTCTGTGTGACATCAATATTATAATATATACAGACACTTTCTCTGTATGACATCAATATTATAATATATACAGACACTTTCTCTGTATGACATCAATATTATAATATATACAGACACTTTCTCTGTATGATATCAATATTATAATATATACAGACACTTTCTCTGTATGACATCAATATTATAATATTTACAGACACTTTCTCTGTATGACATCAATATTATAATATATACAGACACTTTCTCTGTATGACATCAATATTATAATATATACAGACACTTTCTCTGTATGACATCAATATTATAATATATACAGACACTTTCTCTGTATGACATCAATATTATAATATATACAGACACTTTCTCTGTATGACATCAATATTATAATATATACAGACACTTTCTCTGTATGACATCAATATTATAATATATACAGACACTTTCTCTGTATGACATCAATATTATAATATTTACAGACACTTTCTCTGTATGACATCAATATTATAATATATACAGACACTTTCTCTGTATGACATCAATATTATAATATATACAGACACTTTCTCTGTGTCACACCATTGTCGAAATATCAGAATACACAGGGACACTTCCTCTGTAGTTACTTGTTTTTGAATATACTTTTTTAAATCTGTACTTTTAATCTGCCTGGTTGGGATTAGAATCCAACACTTTCAGACTGCCAGGAAAGTGTCTAGCTACTATGCTATGACTTTCCCTAAAAATCATCCTTCTCTGTGTATCATTAGATGTCACATTGGGCTCGCATTTGATTCCTCCAATCTTCTCTATTGCAACTTTCTCCACTTCTGACATGGAGTTCAGCCCGACATTTTGTGCCTCTCGTAATAATGTTTTTTTTCAATGTTTCCCTAGGATGTCCACTTTTTTTCTCAGACCGTTTGTTTCCCATTTCAGTGCCTGTTTTGTTATTCTTTGTTCATTTCATCTCAGAGTGTGCCCAATATATCTCCACCTTCTTTTTCTTATTGCAGTCAAAACAGATATTTGTCCAGAAATTTCACTGATCTCACTCTTTTTAAATTCACCCGATTTTATGTTCATTATTTTTCTCAGATATTTTTTTCAAATGCATTAAACTTTCATTCAATATCTCCGATAGTCCTCCAACTTTCGCTGGCACATGTTAGAATGGAAAAAACGTTAGAATTGAAGATCCAAAGTTTGGTCTTAAAGCTGTATAATTTGGAAGATGTATAACTAAAAATAAATACATGCAAATAATCTGGTGGCATACCATTTTCCTTTCGTAGCCTGGTTATAAATTTCTTGGGTGCTAACGTGCCGACCTTCTTCTTTTGAGTGGCCACACTGTAGAAGAGGTCTGCGAGGCATGTGAGAAGTGTCTCCTTCTTCTGGTTCTTCACCTGCTGCTTGTACTGCAGGACTTTCTCTCGAAATGGGCGGCAAAAGTACAGTGCTTGCAACACCGAGTTACAGTAACATGTGTTGCCAAACTGAAAAACACAGCAACAGTTCATCAGATTTGCACAAGAGGTGAAGAAAATATGAAGTATAGGCTTGATGTTGCTTTTTAGAACTATTCATCTCACATGTTATTTTCCTTCTTCTCTGCGTTTAGGTCTTCAAACGCCAGCTAAAAAGTTCTGGCTGTTCATCCCAGTCTGATCTTGTTGCTAAAACTGAGTTTTGCATGCACATTTATTTTACAGATCTGGTTTATTTGTATGCAGACTGTTGGTTTCTCACCTCTCATGCAGATGCACTCCAACTTGGAAGGAAACCTCCCTAATTAGTCGACTCTTTCAACATGCTTGTTGGGGGCACTGGGTCTATTCTTGTTTCCCCTACAATGGGGCTCCAGAGCACACACAGGGATTTCTCACCTCAGTTCTTGTTCCTCTTCTGTGTTCACCCTCAAAAGGACAATTGGCACATTATGTTGTGGTTTACAGCTAGTCTGTGATATATGCGCCTTTCAGACTAACATATCCGATTTCAGCAAACCTCTATTTAATCACCTTTAAGAACATGCTTTTCATTCTGTACACTATTTATGGTTGACGGCTGATAGAAGACCGAATGCTCTACGAGAAGTCAGACGTTTGTAAAAACCAAGTGATGACTGTGAATAGACTGCAAGAACAGCATGTTAAAAAAGGGTGTGGCTAGACAAAAGCACTATGCAGGAAACCAGAGAAGAATAAGAAAGTAACACAGGACTGGTGTCATCAACGGCTACACACTACGGGATTTACTGAGGAAGGGATCTGAGCACATATGTGTAAGAATGTGTGAAATTACGGACTGAATGGTTTGCTGTGCAATGAGGATACTCTGTCAATTAACTAACTAACTAGAAGACACGAGGTTAGATGAAATAACCTGCGTAAAAATGTCTGAACCTGGAATTAGGAATAAACTGGCAAGCAAAGATGTATGAGAGAAAGAGAACAGCATGTGTACAATCAGTGTGTGATGGGAACCGTTAGCATCTACACCTTAAGACATTTGCTGTGGGAGACGGAGCACCTATGCGTACGGCTAATGTGATACGATGCTGAGTCTTAAATCAGTAACAACATGCTTGTAGCGGGACAGTGGGTCTATTCTTTCTTCACCTGAATTGAAACCCCTACAGGGAATTCTCATCTCAATGAATAAAGACAGACTTCATGAAATGTTCACTGCGTTAAGTTCAAACAGTGTGGAGTATTTGTTTTCTTTTGTATGTGTGCCTTAATTTTTATAAGCTGTGAAATCAGGACTACTCATAAAACGGATGTGCACACAACACTCAAGTTCTAGAAGATGGCTCTTCATCTTCTTTGTTCACCAACTGTAAGCTCTGACGGAAAGTTCTGGTTCTTCATCCATCTGGAATTTGGCTTTGTGTCAGGGCCTGAGTTCTGCGTGTACATTCTTTTTTTTCTGATTTATTCATGTGCAGTTTGTTGTTCTTTGCTGCTCGCGCTGATGCACTCTGATATCGAAAGAAGCCCTCAATCATTGGTCACATGGATGGGGTGAGACAAGAACACTGACATGATCTGTGATTGTGTGGATCGTTTGAGACGGTAAAACATGACCGCCTATTCTTATTGGCATGGCACATGATGATTTGTGTGTATACTGTTCTTAAAACACCATGACAAATTACCAAAATGATTACAACAAGACAATAACTGCACAGACAAAGAAGTTTAGAGGGAGTAGAGACTGAACATGATAATTGTGGAGAGAGACTATACAGGCAGACTGAGAAACAGATGGAGTAACCAATTAAAAACAGAAGATAAATTACAGATGAATGTAGTGGGGGTGATATCTGCAGCAGTGAACCTCAAGGGCTCAGAATGCTGAAGAAGATATAACAAATGCACATTTTCCACTTACATTGACCAATCCGAAGTAATGTTCATTGGTTGGAAACTGCTCTGACCCAATTTCCTTCTCCAACTGAGATGCGTTCTGTCCCTAAAATCGACACAAAAACGCTGATGAATAAAGTGACCATTGATAGTTGAAAGTGTGGTTATCACTTTTGATTTTACTCAATGAATGAATGAATGAATCTTCTTCTTGGCATGTCCCTGTTTTAAACTCCAGCGGAAAGTTCTGGCTGTTCACCTGTTCTGGACTTTAGTTTTGTAGAAATTGAGTTATGCGTGCAAATTGCTTTACAATCTGGCTTAACTGGATGCAGACTGCTAGTTTATTCAAAGAAGAGTGAGGAGAAACCCATAATTAGTTGACTTTTATGACATGCCTGACTGGGGGGGGTGGGGGGGGGAGCTTTGTCTATTTTTACTTCCCTCCATGGGTCTCCATGGTGAAGAGGTTAATTTCACAGCTGTGCTGTTCAGTCCACAAGTGCAGTTTTTACCGAGCTTCCTGGGTACTGTCATTGTAGCTATGGAGTTTTTCTATGTGCAATGCTTTCAACGGGCATGTAGCCATTCTGCAGAGAGAGTCCAAGCTAAACAAGGATAAAACCACTGGATTTTACAGCCGGTGAATGCGGAGAAAGTGAAAAAGATATTAGGACATATGGGAGTGCAAAGAAATTAAAGACCCGAGACAGTAGTTAGTGGCCCCAAAAAAAGTAGGGACAGTTCAGACATACTGAATGGGCTGCATTCCAGAGATTATGAGACAAAAGAGTCCAAGACAATGAATCCCCTGTTGGAAATGGGTACTAAAATAGGACAAGCATGCAAAATGGGTTATGGGGCAAATAAAGAAGGTATGGTGTACAACTCTAAATGGGCACCATGAGGATGAAGATTCTGAGATGCTGCTGCATAGGGGGATGGAGCACATGAGGGACTAATTTGCTACGATATCATTATGGATAAAAAGATGTTATTTTTGCAGTGATGAGAAGTGTCACCAACAAGTGAAGCTAGTGCAGGATATACAGAACATCAACAAAGAACAAACATTGATTTGTATAGAAAATGACTGCCTTTCCAACCGTGCTGCATGCACTAAAGATATGCCATTAGTGGGCACTAATTGTATTGACTAAAACCTTCAGTAAATGCAAAGCTTACTGTTATAAGGGCTGCCTTCAAAATAAGCACTACCATGAGGAGGCAACAGTAAATGCTTCCCTAGAGTCAATGAAAGAATAGCATACGATGTGCTTTCTAGTGTCTACAGTATGACTGAAACATTTCTGTATGAAAGCAGTCTTCCAATGACTTATGTTTTCTTCCGTGTGTAGAGAATGTCAGAACCACTTCTAGTAGACTAAGCATCAAAGAACAAAACGTTTCTTCGTACTGTACAAGAACACTACCATCTCTACAACAGCACAGCCTGGTCTAAAGCAAGGCTACTGAACTTGCGGTCCACGGGTCAAATTTGGTCCTCAGAGGCCTAGCAAGTGGAACGTTGTTTGTTGTATTGCATAATTAATGTTATTTTTCTATGCTGAGTATAGTTATAGTTATATGGCCCAGGACAATCCCCATTTTCAACATTTTGGCCCCCATAGTAAACTTAGTTGAACAGCCCTGCTCTAAAGCCTAAAGCCTTTAGTATGTGCTAAAGCATTTAGTAACGTACATCTTAAGTAACATTAGTCTAAAGCTATCTAAATAGATAGAAAATGTGTAGGGTTTCTATTCCGTTGGCAAATGCTTTGCAGTGGTAGTGGATAAGTTGAGTCAGTGGAGAATGTCAGTCGGAATGAGAACTGAAAACTCAAAAACGATAAGACAACGAACAAATGTTCATACGTAGGGCCAAAGAACTTTAGTCATTACCATCTCTCCAACAGCGCAGCATGCGCTAAAGGTAGGCTTGAAAGATGTTATGTTTGCGGTGTGGAGGACAGCCTCTGGTGTACGCTCAAAGACAACAACAGTGAGATCATTCAGGAAGTGCAGACGACGGCCACCATATTGTTTTCAATGGAGATTTTGTTTTTGTCGGCCAAATTAATTTTTTCTCTCATTTCTTGTTGCAGTAGTAATTTTCACAGAAAAATATGATTGTCAGAATTATTTAAAATTTACACCTAAAATATTAAAATTAACAGTATATACTCCTACAAACTGTTACAATTAATACATAATATGTGCAGTATTAAAGAACCGAAATTAATTGACAAGCATAAATATATTCAATATCCCTTCGTGTACGTTCCGTGGCCCCATTGTGAGGGAAAACAAGAATAGACCCACCATCTCCCCATTAAACATGTCCCAAGAGTCAACTAAAGTTTGTGTGCATCTGACTGAATGACAAGAAACTAACAATCAGCATACAAAAAAAAAACCAGATCTGTAAAACGGGTGTGCACGCAACCGTAAAGTTCTGAAACATGACTTAAGTCCAGAAGTTGACGAACAGCCATAACTCTTCTTGTTCTTAGTGCGGCTGTAAACTCGGGCAGAAAGTTCTGATTGTTCATCCACCAGTGGACTCTGGTCTTGTTCCAGAACCTGAGTGTTGAGTGCACAAAGATTATACATATCTGACTTATTTGTGTGCAGGTTGTTGGTTCCTTGCCTCTTAACTAAGAGCATTCAAACTTCGAAGGAAGCGCCAGTTAGACTCTTACGACATGCTTGTTGGAGAGGCAGTGTGTCTATTCTTGATCATTTTCGGAGAACACTGTTTGTTAGTTTATATATCGTATGCCCAGTTAGTAGAAGGCGTGGTTTCAGGAAAGAGGGGCAGGAGCCGATCAGCAGCAAGACAGACACAATATATGTGACACCTTGGGTAGGAGAGTCACGGAATGAAAGATTTGACAAGAGATTGAGTTTTTTTTTTCGGGAAGGCTTTGATAAGAGCGACGTTCTGTACAGAACCTGCTGCATGATGATGATTATTTAGAGAGAATGCCTCGCGACCATAGACGCATACACTATACATACACGCATACACCAAAGGAAGAGAGGGGCGTAAAGAAATAGGCAGACCAAGAACAAGATAGAAAGATAATATCTGGGAAACTACAACAATAGGACATGTTTATGGACAAAGCGGCCAGGAGAGCAAAAACCAAAACCTTATGTTGAATTAAGAATCGACATCACAGCACTTGGGACACTCCCATAAGTGCTCAGTCCCCATCTTCAGCAGCAAGCGAAGAGTTCAAATGCCGATGGTACCAGTAACCATTTGATTGTATATCCGCCCCATGCTTCCCCTGGGTGTTGAGCGTCGGCCAGATCCCCTGGTAACTACTCCTCGCAGCGCCATTCTCCTCAGAAAGGTAACGCAAAATGTGGAGCGACGGCACCGAGAACAGTCTTGAAGAAGTAAAGATCAGCTTGTACAACGCATTAGAAAGAGCACAGAGAAGATCCTCACTCACATCAGTCAGCCCACCCCAGCCATGTCTAGCCTCAGCCTTGTCTGTGCATGCGTACGCATACCTGTGTGTATGTGTCTGCCTGTCTTCCTCTTTTTCTGCCCGTTATCCTCTAATGGGACAAAGGTCATTAACAAACTTCCATCACGTCATCATATCCTTGGCTTACCCATGCAGCACACCTCCGAATCCGACTGGGTGAAAGGAAATGAAAGAGTAGACAGACTGACCGTGTCGATAGTGGTTAGTGCGGAGGAGTTTAGACACACTGAATGCTTTGTGTTCATAGAGGTTAAGACAAAGGGTCAGAGCCTGTTGAAAATGAGTACTAAACGAGGGCAAGCATGCATAAACTGGTTGTTGGGCAAAGAAAGATTTGCCACTCAACTCCTACTGTGCACGTTGAACATCAATCGTATCGTATCGTAATAATCAAACAAAAAATTCCAAGCTTAGTCCTTTTTTAGCCGCCTGAAGGCCTGCTTTATCAAGGACGGTTCCTTTGCTATCTTATTTAAGTTCTGTTCCTTTGTGGTGAGCAATTACACCTGAGATTGTTCTTTTGTTGCCTAAGTTCCAAGCAGGTTTTTAGGGGTCCTGGTTTCTGTCTTTATCTGGCTGTCCGCTAGCCGTTGCACTGATCGTCTGTGCGAGCACCGATGCAGTCCCCAGTCACACCACCACGAAGCAAACAGCTCTGCAGACTGAGCGTCTCACGCAAGGCTCCCATCAGGACGACTGTCACAGTCTACTTCTACAATCTATTTTTTTTTTTTAATGAGTAGAGGAGGTAACAAAGATTTGCAACAACAACAACAACAACAACAACAAAATAGAACGCCCGAAGGTGTCAAGATATTTTATAGGTAGGTCGGAAGATGGAGAGAGACAGATAGCTTGCTAGGTTGAGAGAGAGGTCCCTGGTGCTTTGAGCTTCTGGTGGGATGAGGCTCTGCGCAATGCCTGCCCTTCGTGTGTTTTGTTCTTGGGTTGATAGCTCGTGTTGAGGCAGGAATTAGTCTCGTTCCCTTATCTGAAAATAAACTGATTTACATTTTAGACATATGTGGGAAGTGGCGGGGGAGGTAAGAAGAAAGGCATAATAGACTGGAATCCACGAGTGCTGGTCCCCTTCTTGTGCTATGCCCTTTAGCTGGTTTGCCTCGGAGCGTCGGGTGGCCTTTGATGGGTTCCGTCGTTTTTATCTTTCTGTAAATACACTAAAAGAGATTTATGTTAGTTGGGTTGGTTTAGTCTGTGTTATTCGCCTTTGGTAGGGGAGGAGTGGAAATAGCATAGGTAGAATTGCAGGAATGCTTTTTAGAGGACATACAGTGAGGTCGGAAATAGCTGGCTCTATTGAGGGTGCTGGTACTCGCTGGATCTGGTCAGGTCACATCAGGTTGAGGGGTGGCTCTCAGATCGCTTTCCCGGTTCTGATATAAACTGTTTCACAAGTCGCTGGACCTTGTCGTCGCAGCTTACACTGAGGCAGTTTTCGATTGCCATTGGTTGCTTCGTGGCTCTGAAAGGCAGTATGAGCTCTTGTCTTTCTATTTCGTGGTGGTTACAAGTTAGTAAGAAGTGCTCCATGGAATTAAGGGCCCTACATTCCTCGCACACAGGAGTGCGGAATCGGTCTGGCCAGCACCCTTGTCGCATCTTCCACAGTTTTCGAAAGACTG